CATTGACAGTGTCGCCTCCCTCTAGTGTGCCTATGGAGGAGGAATGGGAGCCATTGATTGGTTCCCAGATCACAGGAGGAGAGAGGCGACGATTGACACAATTCCTACGAGACTATAGGAGTTGTTTTGCTTTCAGTATGAAGGAGTTGGGTGCGTTGATTGGACCCGGTATACGGATAGAATTGGCTAGTGATACGCCAATCTTCCGTCGTCCTTATCGATACAGTGAGATGGAGAGAGATTTGATTCGGAGTAGGCCGTTGGACCTACTGGAGGCTGGACTAGTGGAGTTATCGCATGGTGAGTATGCGTCAGCCACTGTCATGCCGGTGAAGAAGGATGTACATGGCAACTACACGGATAGGCGCATGTGTGGAGACTACCGTCCTATCAATCGGCAGACGAAGTCCGATAAGTATGCCATGCCTACACCTGAGGAGATCTTCGATGTGGTGGGACATGCGAGGATTTTTAGTACTTTGGATCTTCGGGCAGGATACCATCAGTTGCCAATTCGGGGGGAGGACAAAACCAAGACAGCGTTTTGGGGCGTCAACTCCCACGGCAAGGATTGTTTGTATCAGTGGCGATTCTTACCCTTTGGGTTGAAGAATGCACCTGCCGAGTTTCAGAGGGTTATGGACAAAATCCTGGCGGGGCTGGATTTTGTCAGATGTTACATTGATGATATCTTGGTGTTTAGTGACACTGTGGAGCAACACCAGATACACTTGCAGATTGTGTTTGAGCGATTGAGGGCTCATGGTTTGAGGTTACATCCTGGGAAGTGTAAGTTCTTCCAGGAGAAGGTTGAGTACTTGGGTCATGTGATATACCCAGGTGGTTTAGGAGTTCAGCAAGCAAAGGTGGAGGCTATTGCACGCATCCCTCGTCCCACGGATGTGAGTAGAGTTCGTGCATTTATGGGTTTAGCGAACTACTACCGGAGGTATGTGAAGGGGTTCAGTGCTATAGCCAAGCCTTTGAACCAGTTGCTGAAGTCAGATCAGGAGTGGCAATGGGGAGATGAGCAGGAGAGAGCTTTTGTTGAGCTCAAGGCCAGGTTGGTGGCCGCTCCCATCTTGAGGAGACCTATCAGAGGTCGTCCATACCAATTGCACACTGATTGGAGTATGTTGGGACTTGGAGCGGTGTTGACGCAGCGTGATGATGAGGGCAAGGAGTTTGTGGTTGCGTATGCTAGTCGTTCGAACAATGCAGCGGAGTCGCGGTATAGTTCGTACGAGGGAGAGTGCTTGGCAGCGGTGTGGGCTGTGGCGCACTTCATGTGTTACTTGTTTGGTACGCAGTTCACCCTTGTTACTGATCATCAACCGCTCAAATGGTTGATGGAGTCCGACAAGCTTACAGGGAAGCTTGCACGGTGGGCTCTCATCTTACAGGAGTACAACTTTCAGGTGGTGCATAGACCTGGAGTTGCGAATCTAGATGCCGATGGTTTGAGTCGAAACCCATGCACTAGCCAGGAGGATTACACTGGAGCTAGATGGCATGGTGAGGTTGACGAGGAGATGGTGCCTGGTTGGCATGCATCTGCCTTCATGTGTTGGTTACGTGGGAACTCCAACAGAGAGGATCATCTGACATCTTACTCTAGTCAGAGAGTAGATGGTCGATCTCCAGATCCTGAGGTTGAGGATGGTGGTGTGGATCAGCGTGATGTACACGATGATGCATTGGTGTTGGAGTTCTTACGGACCAGCATGGTGCCAGGCCCAGTGGGTGCCAAGGAGCGAGATCGTGTTCTCCAACGGGCCAAGAGGTACCGATTGGAGGGATCACATGTTCTCCGAGTATGGCAGGACGTTAGGGTACGAGTAGTACCACATCCAGCCCAGAGAGCACGCATTGTGAGGCATGCTCATGAGGAGTTGGGACATTTTGGAGTGAAGTGTACATACAGCTTACTCCTTGGTCAGTATTGGTGGCGTGGTATGCATACTCAGGTACAGTAGTTGGTATCACGTTGCATGGTTTGTGATCGAGTGAGGGCATCATTCAATGCCCCGACACCAGTGTTACATCCATTACCCATCATGGGGTTGGGTTACCGTTGGAGTTTGGACTTTGCTGGACCACTACCTTTGACAGTACGACATCATCGGTATGTGTTGGTGATGGTGGAGCATTTCTCCAAGTGGATTGAGTTGGTGGCATTACCTGACAAGGCAAGTGAGGGAGTAGCGTATGCTTTTCTTGACAGAGTGCTTAGTCACTATGATGCACCAGCTGAGGTGTTGACCGATCAGGGAACGGAGTTTCAGGGTGAGTTTCAGGTCTTGTGCGACAAGGCACTGATTGATCGTCGGACCACGTCGCGAGATCATCCAGAGGCGGATGGTTTAGCTGAACGTGTTGTACAGACGGTGAAGAGGGCGTTGCGCAAGTATGGCCTGCAGAAAGGTCATCTTGGGGACTGGGATATCCAGTTACCGTGGTTGGCCATGGGATATCGGTTCAGTCGGCAGGCATCCTTGGCTTCCTTCTCACCATATTTTCTATTGTACGGCCGAGATCCAGACTTGCCAACATCGATTCGTCGTGAGTCTAGCGAGGTGGTGAACCTTGATGACCCGAATATGTGGGTGAGAGTATGTTCTCAACGTGCAGAGCTCTTTCGAAGAGTTATGCCTGCAGCGTTTGAGAATCTTGCGATTGCTCAACATAGAGATACGTTGCGGTATGCAACCATTCGGGGAGGAGGTTATCGACCATCAATTCGTAGATTCCATGTGGGAGACTACGTCTATCTACAGCAAACTGCACCGACGACATTGGATGTGACGGCGGGACGCACCATCTTGCGGGTGCGGGAGGTGTTACCTTCTGGAGTTCTCCTGTTGGAGGGTCGTGACGGCGTTGTTTGGAAGGATCATGTGCGCAATTGTGCGCCATGCCACCTCCCAAACGTAGATGGCACTATGGACCCAAGCTTAGCTATAGTACGTGCTAGCTTGAGGTGCATGCTGTGTGGGTCGGCTGTTCAGGCGGCCCGTATGTTGGTGTGTGATAGGTGCTCTAGGGGATGGCACATGTCGTGCCTAACTCCGCCTATCGATGTTATTCCGGCTGGACGATGGGTTTGTCCTCGATGTACTTCATAGGGGTAGATGACTTGATCTTCACATGTTATGAATTGCAGATAGGCGACTAACGATGGGCGACATAGCACCCGGCCTACTGGTTCGCGCACCCACGAAGGTGTATAGCATGTAGTTGTAGATGGGGCTACCTGGGAGTCCGAGGTACCTGACCGCCAGCTAGGGGGGCGAGTTGTGACATTTGAGTGTGTACTCTCTCGCGCCTTATATGTGTGTATGTGTGTGCGTATGTGTATGTGAGTAGCATGTCAGCGATGTAGAGTGTATGGCGATATGTATTCGCACGACAGCTGTCATGTAGTTGCGAGTCGGCTCACGAAGTTCAGACACTTACTATATTTAGCCGTAAAGTTAGGGTTCCGGTCACGAGGGGTATACAGTCGGGGACGGCTCGAAGAACGTCAGTTCTTCGAGTCGAGCCTGGAAGCGTTGGGAGCGTAGAGTGACTTTCCCCTTTGCGTCGACCTGGATTCTCCAAGTGTGGAGTGGGTTGGGCTTGACTCATGTTTGTGACGGTGACGGTTTGTTGCCAGTAGGGTAATTGACCGACGGGAATTCCAGTGGGGAATTCCCGTCCATTTCAGTTGTGACATTTGAGTGTGTACTCTCTCGCGCCTTATATGTGTGTATGTGTGTGCGTATGTGTATGTGAGTAGCATGTCAGCGATGTAGAGTGTATGGCGATATGTATTCGCACGACAAGTGTTACGACCATAACTTGAGGCTGCAAATTCTTCGACAGCCTTGCATTTTACAAAAAATTGTATTTTGAGAATGATTCCATCCGGAAGACTGAATACCTGACAAGCGGTCCTCACTGACGTTTACTGTGTGATACTTGAATGACATGGCCGAGATGTGTGCGAAATTAAGCGCGGACCCAATTCATGGATTACTGTTAACCATAATGGACAGAAATCAAAAGACCGGGTAACACCTCGAGACTCAATGCAAATTGACAATCCAGGTGTGTGACATCAAAGTCTTTCTGCCTGAAAGTCGCAGTGGGTGCTCCATTGTACTGTACCTAACAGTGAACAGATGATTCTCGCATACACGCCAACCCCATGGCTTACATTACTCCATCGCACGTTGCTTGCCCAAGTTGAAGAAGATCTGATGCTTTTCCCATGCAGCTTTCGAGGAGAAAATTCGCCACTGGCATTCAGTCTCAGACGGTGGAACCACTGGTTCTCTCTTGTTATTTAATGTCTCGCGATTTGAGGAGGCTCGGATTCTGGGCTCAAAGCTAAAATATGGTCTATTGTAGGAGGGCACGTCCGGATATTCCCAGAACTTAGATCAGCCTCAGCAAGTTGATGGTACGCACGCAAAGGGATACTTCCATCTCGTTGCCAGCGGAGTATGATGAACTGAACTTGTGTGCTTTGTTGTTGTGCGAAGGATCCACATCATTACTTTGTACAAATTACTTTGTTCGACTTTGGACTTTGTTCATTCAGAACACACAGTCCGGATGAAGCGTCGTGCAGTTTCTGATTATCAGCAATCGCAGGCAGTAATCTTACTTCCTGTGATTCTCTATGTTTATCCTCCGCATATTTTGAGCATATTCACTACTACTCACGCAAGCAGAAATGTTATCGTCCACTAATATTTTTGCAAGCAGCCTTATGTGCTAAGATTCTAATTTCGTGCACGCTGTAAATAGAGCAAATCCCCAGCAATGTGCGCACAAGGACAGCAAACATTCCCTGTATATGAATTGTCAGACTCTGCGGAGGTGCAATCAATCTCCCACAAGGTTTCAGCGAGAAACCTCATATGCTTGTTGTGTGCAGTTCGACGCTTGAACACTTCCCGTGAGAACCTGGGATCACTGAAAGAGCTCTAACTCAGTAAAAAGCAATTTCGTGAACGCCTCTTTATAGTTGCTCCTCCAGTTTCGATATGAAACTGGCACATGTCTATGAATTCTGATTTGATACCAACCTACGGGTAAAGCTTGTGGCTTTTTCGTGAAAAATGGTGGATCAGGGTCTTTATACTGGATATCTTCCCTCTCGGGCTGACTACGGAATTATCATCTGACTATCATCTGACATGTATAGAATTATTGACAGGTGGAGGAGCCCACTTGCTCGATGAGATACAGTTTCCTACGTTCATGATATTTACAGACTTCAAACATTTTCTTAGAAGTTGCAATTGCAAGGCGAATCTAAATTTTCTATCGAACCTAGTAAATGCTTCAAAACTCTACACGAGCTAGACGTCACCCTATTCAGCTTGTCACTGTACGGCCTGAGGCCTCAAACTCCGACTGCTGCGGGAACATTATCCCGAATCTTGAACACTAAAACCTCAACTCTCTGCTTGGTATCATGTTGGCACACAACGTCGAGATCGATCTCCATCAATTTGCCGAGCGTTACCGATTGTGCATTCGTCTGATTAGTCATTTTGAGCTCCTAATCTGTGATACGTGCTCATAAATTGCCTCACCGAGTTCGGTCAGGGCAGCCGACCAAGTGCCTTTAGGCTGGCACACCTCAAAGTGATCCGCTGAAACCGAATAGAAGTTGTCCATATCAAATCTAGCTGAAGCCTCCGGAACCAACATGGTCTTCCCGCATCCTTTCTGTACACATTGCACAATAAAGCTTACAAGTCATATCTGATCTGACAATGACATCCTTCTCTAGGCTGTTTGGGTGGTGATGAAGTGCACAAACATAATATGAAACTTCATGATGTTCGTGCAAACTCTGACTGAGGCCTTCATGGTTTTTTCTTAATCAGCCGTCAGTGAAGCTGTAGTCTCGGATAGCAAACAACGCAAAATAGTTCCGTCAATATTTTGAACTATGAAGTGTGCAGTCTGAGTACCTGGCTTGTAGGATTCTGAGCAACGATGGCGTACGTTTTGAATCGTACGTCTGAGCCTACACCACGGCCGGACCGATATAAGCTGAAATCCGCGTTTATTCTGGACATGTCAGATCCAAGAACACTCAGCAGTGCGAGCATGCGATTTCGCGAGTCTTCGGGGACTCCCTTGGCCAAATCCTCGATGGCTTCTGATCCATTGTGAGGTGTAGCATAGAAGAAAATTGCACTCAGATTACTGAGAAAATTCTGGCGTTTCTCTTTTTCTTTAAGGTCGTCCTCTTCTTCTTGACGTAATCTTCCTATACTGTCATCTTGCTTCTCCACTGCCATGACGAATTCCTTGATAATGAGCCCACCAAGGTCGTGTCCAACCAGAAAGACAGGCACTTCTCCAGCTCCTACCCCATCCGGTCCGTGACAACGGCCACTGTATATGAGTTCCGAGATCAAATTCTCGACAAGAAGGAAATGGTCAGTCCCATCTGTTCCATCTGGAACGCTTACCCTGCCCTCATACGAGACCGCAAGCACACGAATTCTGCAAGGGTCAGAGGGACTTTTATCGGCCAACAACTTGGGCAGCATTGTCACGGGCCAGCATTCGTGGGTTCTGAACTTTGTCCAGGTGCTCCAGAAAGCATGGTCCTTCTCGGATTCATCCACCAGAAGTCCATGAAAGAACACAGTCACAGCCTCCGGGTTGTCTTCATGCTTAAGCTCATACACGTACTCGCCTACTCTCTGTTCAAATGGACAGCAGACGAACAAATGAATAACAATGCGGATGTTCTCTGTGATTCGAAATCATGGTGGCTTTGCAATTGTGGCCTGGCTAATCGCTAGATAAATGTCACAATCACACTTTGTGCTCGCGGAGTACCTTAAACTCGCACGTCTCTGACATCGTATTCAATTTAACGTCATACCGGGCTCGATAGGACTGGGGAAACAGGGGCACCACAATTGTCAGCAGAAATCCCTTTTCCTCGATTTCTCCCGAATGCCGTTGTTTCGGTCGGCAGGCTACCTCTGAGGCACGTCTCGACAAGTTTTCGTACACAGGGCTTCCAAGTAGAGGTCGATGCTCAGACTTTTACCTGCTCAGACTTTTACCTGCACCAATACCCAGATCCCCGATGACGTATTCTCTATACGTAAAGCACAACTTCCTCACTTCTCTTCACATTCAAACTGAGCTCTTGTCTAATGTACTGGTATGCACGCATTTAGGCTCAGCTGTAATCTTCTGCCCTTGGGTATGTCAAGGTCTTCAATTTCTGTCTCAGTAATTCCTCTGTTCAGTGCAGCTGCAGAAGCCTACATATATTACGCTTGAGATGGAAGGGACGGTCAACTACTCTTGGGCGAAGGACCAAGATTACAGGACTGACGAGGACTACCTGACAGAATTCGAAGAGCCTTCGAGAGATGTTCGGACAACCATGATGGCCACTGGAGACGTTTCCTCTCGCGGTGGACTTCGATGACCGCATGTGCAGAGTTGTGCAGCTCAAAGGTTGTTCAACGGAAGGCCACATGCAACATACTGTTGCTCCAGATTAAGCTCGGGACCACTTCATGGCTACTGTCAACAATGAGTGATAGAGCATATTGGCCTTCCTTTTGTCTACTAAGTTAGTAGACGATAGTAGTAGAGTGTTAGTAGTACTAACACTCGCCTGGAGCACGTTGACTTCCCAGTAAGTCAGCCTAGTATTGCCTTATTTGACTTGAGTGTGGCATTTTACTCCTCCAAAATCCCGTCATTTGGGCTAAGACTAATGATTTCCTTACCTTCCGAATCTACTTTAGATCAAGGTATTCGAGGGGATGACATTGACAGGGAACAACTCTGGACGATGTTTCCCTTGCAGTCAAGCGTTGTTTCTACAATTTGTACACTATGTTTGTGAGTTTTCTTCAACGTTGTCACTGAAATTGTTTCTACCTCTTTCGTTGACTTTCGTTGATATTGGGACTTTGATGAAGGATCTTAAGCTTAACCCGCCTTTCGAAACTTATGATCAGCAAGAACTGCAGGCTGCATCTCATCCTCTAATCGAGGGAGTTAAACTTTCAATCTCTGTAAAGATTGAACAATTTTACGCGAACACGAGGTTTGACACATCTCCCTTTGAATCTATTTCAGTCCATCCATGATATTGGGGGTATACACAATATTGAAATTATATTGGAAGATCATGACCATGAAGATAAATTACGTGTACACCTTGCTAAGTATTGGGATACTACCGCCACAGCTCCTCTCAACAGAAAGACCTTTGTAGGACAGACGCTGCTCAATATCATTGGAAGTTGTCAAGTGCTGATTATTTCTATAGGATTCCTGTAACGATACTCCAGGTAATCCACCAGATGAAGGATATGTATTGGTGATAAAGCCCTGATACAGTTCGGACTAGATATCATCTGGTTGTCATCAAAAATTACCTGCAGAATAGATTTGTAATATGGTTAAGCAGTTTTATATGTGAAACAAGTAAAGGTACACTTAGTCTAGAGGGTTCCCCCTACCCTTCTCACCGAAGTGGAAAGTGGTGGAATGCGGATTCTATTTTTCATTCTCATGTTCATGTATGATAGATAGATCAAGGTTCGAGGCCTTGATCTATTGATGAAGTGGACGGGTTTGATTGAGCCTAAAGGATCGGCAACCCTTGCTTTGGTGCAGAAATGGCCGCAGTAAATTCGTCCAGGAGCATATACTTATTATTTGTCTCAATGTTGTCGTGAAGAGCATGATGATCAATTGCAAGCATATCCATGCATTTTTCAAAGTATTGTTATCTCTTTCCCGGAGTTTGATGTTAGTAAACTCAATCGAATTATCAAAATAAAATCACACCGTGACACAAGAATATTCTGACCCGATGAAACCTTTAACACTTGAATTATCAACCTTTCTGCACCTTTAACTCTTCGATAATCAACCCTGGGATAAAAAAAAATTCAATCCTCTCGGCTTTCCTGGACACCATTGCAAATTCGCAGTTGAGAAATTCGATCTCGATTACTTTCTTCCATTTGATATGCTTTTCGCTCGCTTAATTTCGCCCTCATTTTGGACACTTGGACAATTGTTGACTTTCTCTTCTTCTATTTTTCCTTCGCAGCCACAATCACTTTCAGCCCGCCGCTATCACACGCATCCTTTGCCTTCACCGCGACTGATGAAACTCACAAAAGCTATTGAAAACCACTGACCTGCCCCTCCCTGCATTTCGGTGGCCAGTCCTAAATAGGATGAAACGGCAGAATCTCACCGACCCTCGCGCCTCAATAGCAGGATGTGGAATGAGTGGATCCACGACTATAATGCAATGTAATTCTGGATTGAAACCTGCCTCAAGTCAACCTCTTGGAAGTTCTTCTTCTGCTGTCCTTGAAAACTATACACCACATAGTTCCACTTTCTGCTAGCTGAGCTACTCACGACCGTATCAGCATTGTGGCATGACATCTGTAACTCCTTCTCTCTGTTTCGACTCCGAGTCAGCAGGAGATACCTCAAATGTTTCCACATCCTTCACATGACGAAATCGCTGCAAAGTCAGGTAATCATCCATAAGATTGCCGAGTCCACTCTGCCTCCTGAATAAAATGACCTGGCGCTGGTTGAATCTTCCTCGCTAACCACCTGAAGCGGCCATCACATGAAGCAACGCCGGTCACGCACAATACAGTTCCAATCCGTTAACCTCGACCTTTGATTGTTCTGATAAAAATCACGTCGAGTGAAACTTCTCGGTCCTGGGTACTGACTGAACCGCCTTACTCTCTGAAACTGACTGAATCGTCCTCTCACTGATTCATCCGCATTAGATTCTGCACCGTGCGCGCTGGCTTACAACTTTTGCAGGTGCAGAGGGAGTTTGTTGCAGTAGTATGCAGTCCGATGACAGTAGAGCAGGGGCCGCCACCAACTGCGTCTGGATTGTACACTAGTCTTCTATCACGTCGTTCCTGGAAGGGAGACAGATGCCCAATTCCAGTCGTTCATTTTCACCGATGAAAGTCGGTGAAGCTCCATGACTATTACCATCTGCAGACACGACGGTCATGTGACATTTCTTCTTGGGTGAAAAGGTTACACCACGTGCTTGACTTGACTTTTTGCTGCATCTCACGCGAAGTTTACATCTCATTTAGTAGTAAAAGTTGTATAACATGGAAGATAGTAAACATATCAACGCTTGTTTTCAAAATTCTATGATATAATATAATAAAATAATCTAGAACAAAAAATAATAAATATAATAAAAAATAATTTACATCTTATAATATAATCAAATTTAGTTTTTTACCAAAGATAGATTAAAATGATATATTATTCATTGTAAATACATTCACCGTTACACACTTTATTTATACATTAATGACTATCAATATTAAATTAATATACTTATCCAATTTTAAATCTATGAGATTTAGAATAATATAATTTAAACATATAAAGATTCATGCAAATAAGTATTCTTGTTCATAGTAATTAAATATAGTATTCATATGAAATTGATTAAACTATATCTTGTGACTCATTTGTTCTAAATAATATTAAAAAATTTTTACTTTAGATGTTCCCGCAGTGCAATAGGTTGCATGTTCCAATTACGTTCCGTCACATTCCACTTCAAAAACCAAGTAATACAGACGTAAATCATTAATTGGAACATGTAACTCGCAAAGCTTGAAGAGTAAAGCGAGGAGCATCAAGAGATTTCACACTCGTGATGTAAATAATGAGCTTCAGCCTCTTGAACTAGACAACATGTTCTCGCCAGAATAATCACATATGGAGTTTGGTTTCTTACTTCCATTCTTTTTGTAGAAATATAATTTATAACCTCCCCACGCGCTTCCAATCTGTATTCTTACAACTAAGAGCTCACATTTGGTTTCCATATAATTCTACTCGTAACACACTAAAAGTTTCCTAAAACTCCAAGACATTAGATGAACTCTTCTACACCGATTTAACAATGTATATAGAGTTTTATGATTATAAAACTCTATATACATTGTTAAATCGTTAGAAAAATCATTAGAAAAATTATAATCATTAGAAAAATCAACACCTAGATATTTATACTTCTTCATCTCTTATTTTGAATGTAAATTCTTGTATTAGAATGAAAACTTGGATCTAGTGGCCATTATCATGACTGAAGACTTCTTCATATTTACCTCTATTTGATTCTAGGTACAAAACCTAGCCAAAGTGTATAAATGTTTCTTTAAATTAATGGTATTACTTGCTAGTAATATGATATGATCTGCATACAAGGTAATTTTGATGACAAAGTTTCAAAGCTTGACACTTTAACTATCACATGATTCCAATCACTTTTTGATATCATCTATGGTAACTCAAATGGGATAAGAGAGAATATATAACCTTGAATCATTCAAATGATATTAAAAACCTCTTTAGTTTGAGAAGTACTGATCTTGGCCCGCGAAGAATGATATAATTTGACCACGGCTATTAAGAGATTTGGTGGTACTTCAATGACTTGCAATCTTTCACATAAGAATTCACGAAATACAATGTCCAAATCTTTCTTAGAATCAATAAAGTCACAAAATAAAAAAATTTCATTGCTCTTTGATTTCCACATAAAACACTCAAGGCTAAGATATGTTCAATGATGTTGTATGTAGGACAAAACCTTGCTTGGAACATCGCTCTCTTTCTCTGAGATTCAATCCATGTACTCAATTTTGACTCCATCAATTTGCCAAACAATTTGACAAAAACACTAGCCATCATAGTAAAATAGTTTGTCACCAAGTATTTCCTTCTTGATTTATGAATACAAACAATGAATACGAACAATCTTACGTAGATACCAAGTTGAAGGAAAATCATACATAGCAACATGTTTTAACACAATAGTAGATATAATTCCAATATCATCTCATACCCACGTGAAAAGTTGAATAGAAAGATCATCCAATTCTTCACATTTACCATTTGCTAATTTCCTTTGTTGAGTCATCACCTATGCTTCAGATAATATATTCACGACAGTTCTTATGTCGTGAAACTGTTCTTCACGACATAAGAACAGTTTTAGAAGACAGTACTTCTAACCGTCCCCGACAAGGTTTGGAATCCTCCATCCGCTTCTTTGTCAGGTATTTTTGCTTTATACTCAAAAAAACTTGTTCCAAATTTCATCAAGTGGTTGTAAAATCTTGTCATGATAATAAAACTTTGAAGATCAAAAGACTTATCAATCTATCTTGTCTTTGTTTGCAATCAAAGTCAAACTACAAATTGCAAGTAAGAACCCTAACTCCATGATCCTTGTATTGAAGAAAGATTTTAGAAGCAGTGTTTTTGGATGATAGGAACACTTTTCTACAACTACTTAAAGCTAAAATGAGAAAAATATATCCATAGATAATAAAACAACGTTAATGTACCTTGATAAAAGGGAGTGACTAATTATCCGTTAGTTTGATACGTTACTATACTATATTAGAGTTTTGTGTTTAATTAGAGCTTTCCCTTTGTTTGATCCCTCACCATACTATACTATAATAGAGTTCTGTGTTTTATGAGAGCTATCCCTTTGTTTACTAGGGTTCCATGATATAGCGAAAGAAGTAATGCACATTAACCTAGAGTGAGGATAATTAGACGAAACTGAGTTATAACTAATTGTTCCCTGGAAAAAATAAAACCTGCAATCAAATTAGTAGGCCATTGAAGATTTTTTACTAAATTCCTTACATGAGATGATAATAGTTATTTGGTAGTAATTCGGAAGGTTACTTGTAGAGAGACCTGCAGATATGTAGGAAAAATATATGTCACCGTGGACCTTACAATCATATACTATTAACGTGTCAAGCCATGCCAATCAAGACGAGTATAAGTTTGCAATTTATACGTCTCGTAGTCTTGTACACCATATAGAATAGTTTTCATTCATCCACGTAGTGTACAACTCAGTGTATTAAGGTGGGCCTCACTATATTGATTGAACCGTTCACGTGGAAGAGGCAGTTCTTTTCGGTCATGCTAGACGGCGTAGTATATGCTATGCACATATCTACTTTGTGCACATACATTCATTTCATCTAGAAACATTGGATGAAGAGACAAATACATATTTACCTCCCTGTGTTCTGAGCACTTTAATTAGAGCAGATAAACAACGCGGTTATAATAATTACGTATGGATACGAATCAGCTCGTTCGTGTACACCCGCTTACCAAGCGACCGAATGGCCTTTCAATGGATCATTCGGTCAGAACTACACAGAAACATGTAGTCAAAGTGAAAAATGCAGTCATGCCCTCCGACAATTCCGAAATACTCATCAATGACATCAACTCCTCGCTCACCCCTTTCGAAAATTACGTGGACTTTACTCCAAACGAAAAATATATATTCCAATCGTTACAATCCAATGTTAACCTAAACGACAAATCCTGCTTCCCCTCTCCGCGGGAAAGCCTAGGTGTTGCTTCCGGTAAGAGCATTAGAGAGCTAATTGCTGTCTTTTACTACGATTGCGCATCCCACATTCATCCCGTGCTCAGTACATTCCACAAGGATTTCTCAAAATCAGCTGACTGAGATGGACGTGTGGGACATGGACTCGACGACGCTTAGATGAAGTGTAGGATGCATTTCTACCTGTTCCCGAGGCGTTGGGTTCGCTGCTGCGACGCCAAATAACTCCCTTCACTCGCGTCTCATTCAACCGCTCGTACTTGCGGTCAGTGCCGGAATCATTAAAGGATCCCACACCGTCGACGCTGTAATAAAAGGGGCCGTGTGGAGTGAGCATGGCTCTAATGATTAACGAAAGTAGCCTACCTTGAAAGTGAAGCCAAGGCCGTGGAATATTGCCATCGTGTGGTGGCAGTGCGCGGAATGAGATGCTCCATCGTTAGTTCGCGCCTAAGCTCACTGCAAGTCGTCGGTCAAGTCTACAGACTGGCGCTTGGCATTCCTGGCGGCCATTACGGCCACGTCCTCGATCTACACTCTCGTTCTCGGGTCTCTGCGTCTCTTAACTCTATGCACAAATACAAAGCTGTAACATTCTGAGATTGACCCACTCGAGCACACTTGGAACCCTACGCTAGTGGGTTGAAACTAAGTGAATCCATCGCGTGTTCCGGACTGTGGACGCAGAGTGGGCCACACTGGAATTTCGGGTTTCCGTTCGGACATGAAGGCAGCTGAAACCGCAAAAGGTCGCCATAGGATTTTCAGCTCAGCAGCAGCATACAGTACTAGTAAACCCTTAAAGGTTGGAAGATATGTTGCAAGAAACTTCTGCGGCGGACTAAGATACGGAGCAATCGATTTGTCCGAGGGCATCGAATTCGTGAGGAATTTACGAGTTTCTCGACATCAAAGGTTCGACAGATTAATTTGCCAGCGTAGAGAAACAAATAGCTGAAATGGAGGCAATCGCTAACTACGAAAAGGTCAACTACTCGTCAAGACGTAGTCTACACGATAGCCAATGGCTGGCAATCTAAATTGGCTGTCGCTCACGCGTAATCTCGGAGGTGTCTACGTACAGGTTCCCCTACGCTACATACATGTCGACAGGTGAGACTGACAGAATCGAATCCAGAATCAACGACACCGACACGAGACGATGCACCCAGAAACCATCGCAGTATGTTGAGAAACGCATTGCAAGCCATGCCATAACACTCAAACATACCGAAACCTAAATGAGAAGCGAACACAAAAGTCGAGAGGAACCCAATTTCGGGAGACCGACACCGATGCGCTCGTCCGTCGCCAGAGTCGATGCACATTGCGTTTCATGCAGGGTATGGTTAAAAAGGCGCGCCCAGAAATGGGCGCGAGAATATCAAAACAGAGCGAGAGCAGATCAAACTGTACTAAAATATTGACACTTTTACTGAGGAGTCGAGAATCCCTACCCGTGGATGTCATTCTTTATGTTACAGCATATAACAACGAGAAACAACAGCCTTCTACACTCTGAGAAAGAAAATTTCTGACCAGAAAAAGAGGAGGTTGGTGACAGCCTGCTTGCTCTTATTGGTCGATTTCTCGGGTGGCAAGAAATAATTTTGAGGCGAGAATCGGAGGATGAAGCTATCACTTGATGTCCATGATCTTGATGACCGAGGCGGCACCGATGCGATGCAGGGCCACGATGGCGTCGCCGTGTTGGCACAGGTGCGACTTGAGGGCATAGGCGATGGCGGCGGCGAGAATTTCATCGGTGGTGTCGGAGTCGGTGGCCTTGGCTGCGCCCTCGGCCAGAAGAGGGATCAATCCTCGGCAGACGAGACTATGGCGGGCGGGCGATTCCTCGCTGAGCTCCCATGTCAAGCTGTCGGTCGTCATCACGGGCACCGCCACCGAGAGGATGGGCACCGACGGGCGATACTTGGCCACGAGCTTGGCGGTGCTGCCCCCTCTCGTGAGCACGATGATCAGCGAGGCGCGCACCTTGTTGGCCGTCCTCACGGCGGACGAGGCCAGACTCTCGAGCGGCGTCATGGGCAGGGGAGCCGATTTCATGATGCTCTTGAAGATGGCGTCGTAGTCGAGCGACGCCTCGGCCTCCCGGCAGATGGCCGCCATGATCTTCACGGCGTTCACGGGGTACGCCCCTGCGGCCGTCTCCCCGCTCAGCATGACAGCGTCGGTGCCATCGAGCACCGCGTTGGCGACGTCCGTGGCCTCGGCCCTGGTGGGGCGGGGCGATTTGCACATGGACTCGAGCATCTGCGTCGCCGTGACCACGGGCTTGCCCGCGGAGTTGCACTTGAAGATCATCATCTTCTGCGCCAGGAAGATCTTCTCGGTGGGGATCTCCATTCCCAGATCTCCACGGGCCACCATGATGCCGTCGCTCTCGCGCAGAATGTCATCGAAGTTGACCAGCCCCTCCTGATTCTCCACCTTGGAGATGATCTGAATGCTGCGGGCGTTCGAGCCCAGCAGCTCCTTGATTTTCTTCACGTCGCTGCCCTTGCGCACGAACGACGCGGCGATGAAGTCGACCTTATTCTTCACTCCCCAGATCAGGATGTCGTCCTCGTCCTTCTTGGTCACGGTGGGCAGATCCACCACCACTCCGGGCAAGTTGCAATTCTTCTTCTCGCCCAGCGTGGCCGAGTTCTCGCATCGGCACCGCACCGTGCCCCCGGCGATGTCGCATTCCAGGACGGTCAAGGTGATGCTTCCGTCGGCGATCAAAATCGTGCTGCCCGGGTGCACATGCTCGGCCAGCTTTTTGTAGCTCAGAGCGATGGTGTTCTCGTCGCCTTCGAAGTCGTAGTCCGTGGTGAGCGTGATCTCGCGGTCCTTGCTGATGGGAATAGGCTTGCCGTTCTTCAGCACTCCGGTTCGGATCTCGGGGCCCTTGGTGTCGAGCAGCACGGCGCACATGATCTGCGTGTTGGTCATCGCCTGCTTCAGAGCGTCCAAGGTGCCCTGATGGTAATCATACGATCCGTGCGAGAAATTGAACCGCGCCACATTCATCCCGGCCTGCAGCATATGCTCCAGAGTTTCCACATCTCGAGACTTGGGCCCCAGCGTGCAGATAATCTTCGTCTTCTGCACCCCCGCTGGAGTCTCCTTGAGCAGGGACTCGATGTCTATCGTTGCCATAGTCGAAACCTCGACGACCTCTGAGCGGAGGTTTCGACCTGCAGGCCTTCGCTGTCAGCTGCTGCCCTCGAATCCTCTGCTTCCTCCTCCTCCTCCTCCTCGACGAGACTCCGAATCACAGCCTTCGCAAGCGAGCTTCGTCAGTGGTCAGTCGTCAAGTCCACACCTGCTCGTCCTGTGCTCGTCCTCGGCCCGCCTCTGCTCGAAGCTCGTCCCTCTTGAGCTGAACCCAGGGCGTGTGGTCTGCTTATGCTCTCGGAGGAAGGCAGACGCTCAGCTCGACTCGATTCGCGCGGATCGATGGGCCTCTGAGTGGTGGTTCCTCGCAGTTGAGCCTGTCGTGGACCTGGACCAACTAACCCTCTCCCCTCCCTTGCCTTCCCTCCCTTCACTCCCTCCCTCTCTCTCTCTCTCTCCCTCTCCCTTCTGCCGAGTCTCAAGAGTCAAGCTCGCGAGGACAACAGTGCAGGAGCTCAATCAAAGTTGGGGGGAGGGGGAGCTACGTCGAATGAATGTGTCGATCTTTGTCCCTTGCAGCTTGAGCGCAGGCTGATCATTCGTCCAGGGCGGCCCACCACGCACCCACCGAGATGTTTCTGCCCCTCGGAGCAGGGGGGGCGTCTGCGGGTCATGGCAAAACCTGTCGACAGGCCTGGACTCTAGCGCGTTTGAATTTATATTTTTGGGGCCCCCCTTGCCCCTTAATTCAGGCGATGCCCCTTAATCCATGATTGGACTCCAGCGGCCGTTACTGGTGCCTCGTTTAGTAGCTCAAGAAAACCGCAAGGGTACCCCCTCCCGTCCCCCCAGACTCGGTGCACCGTTTGTAGTTGCCCCTGTCGACGACCGGTGGTGCGTGCGACTGCGACTGCAAGGTGGGGGAGGTGGGGGATCCTCTGTCGATCGACTTCGCTCCGAGCTCTTCGAGGTTGACCTCGTGTCGCGGCTTTGACCGGACGTCCGCTCGGAGAACCATTGGTCCGCGTCCTGCGTCCGAGGGAGGGAGGGAGGGAGGGCACCTGATTATGACTGCGACGACGGACCGGCTGCCGACGGAATGATGTACGGGGGGTGTACGAATATCCGTTACGCCGATGCGGAGACTCATGAGATTCGGCCCTCGACTTTGACCCGACCCGCATCATCGAGAGCAGGGCACGGTGCGCGTAGGTAGATCCCACCCCCGGCGATCCGATGCGCGACGCGGCACCACGGACCCCCGGCCGCGAGTTGTCCCCTTCAGTTGGCGCAGGCCCGATGGACGGCGTCCCGGAGGTCGAGAATCCGACGAGATGCTTTCTTCTCCTTCAGGCCGCTAACTTTTCCCGGCGAGCTTTCCCGGCGACGGAAAGGCCCAGCAGACGCGCGGCGTACGCCGAGAGACACCGAAGTGGCGACCGACATGTGGACGGTCGACGCACACGCCGACAAAGTGGAGCTGCCCGGAGTATGACCGGACCACGCGCGACTGCTTCCCACGAATCGCCTTTCTGTATTTGATGCGCTCGCCCGTTTACTCCTTTGCGGACTTTTTATTATTTCGGATCAAATCCTCGCAACGACGCGATAAAGCAAAATGGGACTTCCCATCATGTGCTTCGTGAATATTACCAAAGGTGGGAAATGGGCATCCCAATTGGCTCTCAGCGTTTACTGTACCCTCAGTATCGATTTGATTTAGTTTATCCATGTATATAACATCGTACATTAATTGGTGATTTTCTAATGAAGTATGCATATTGCATACAATATAATAACATGAAAATCTCTTTCACTATAAAAAAATAAAAGTTCTAATTAATTCCAGAATTATGTATAGATTATACATCACAACTTCATATTTTCCTACACTTGATACAATTTGTTTCCACTCATCTATGTAAGAGGGTAGTTAAGCTTCGCTTCTATACCTATAATAGATCAAACCTTATACGAGTCTGTCTTCAAATAAGATATATTGAATTTTCTTCCGAGTGAAATATTTAAGTTTCATCTTCATGCACGGTTAAGGCTAGAACCACAAGCATGTACCCAAGAGCATAACGAATCCTGATATCACCAGGAATGGCTCGATGGATCAACACAATGCGAATCATCCTGTTAATAACGATTCAAAAAAATAAAATGTAAGCCTCTATTTTAATTCCTGGACTATAGGAAGAAATAATGGATCTCATATTTCAGCTCCGCTGCAGAGATTTCGTGTGGAGTTATAGTAACTGTTAAGAAACTGAATCCACTTCTCCATGTAAACAAGGATGAGCATAATTGATATCCCATGCTATCAGGTGAGCTCTCTTTTATGAATAATATATCCACACTTCAACAGGAAAATGTGAAAAGATGTATTCAGCCATGTTACATCTCTCGTCACACTGCTTCCAAAATTCTATTCTAATTTTGAAAGAAATAATGGACATTTTAAACAAAGTCGGTGGTATTATGTATGAAATATGGATGTGGGTCCAAGACAACACTGAAAAAACAGAATAAATCCCCATTTACAGAAATGTAGTAAAGAATATCATTTTCATAGAATGCACTTGGGAGAAGTGCCGTATCTATGGAACATGTCACCTGTCCACTTTATTGTGTTGTGACTAGGTACATTGGGTCACATGACAGGGTCTAGCTCTATGTTACCTCTGGTTTTCATCCACGGAAGATTTGATATGTCCTCCATCTTTGTGGTACAGTATTTCACATTGAGGCCTATCCTGTTACTTAATGTGGACCCGGTGACGTCATCACCATAGTCCATGTAATAGCCACGTGGGAGAGTACCGCGGACATGCTTTTGGCGATCTGACGTGCGCGTTGGAAGGAAGGCAGAGATGCAAACCCTAAACCCTAATTTGGAGTCGCGGGCGATGCTGCCTGCGCAGCAAGGACGATGTCCGTTCTCGGCGTCCTCTCACGCCTTGGTACCATCGCAGCCTCACAGCGTCGGTTCGGCCATTTTAGTCATCAGATACAGGAATTAATGTCTCTACGGATGTTCATGTTCATCGAGACCGACATGTTTTTAATGAGAAGTGCATAAAGCCCAAGGACCGAGTGGAACCATACCAAACCGACATGTTTTATATTTTTATTTATTCAGAATCAATCAATACATTGGTTATATTTATATAAATTTTTCGTATCAAAAAATTATTCATATAAAATCGTCCAAAATCAAAATTCAAATAATTTATCATATGTAAATATTACTGAATATTTACATATGGTATATGTTGCCAAAGCTCTTTTCCAAATTTGTGGAAAAATCTTTATAGAGAATATCTTACTGATTTTTTTTTTGCATGGAAAATTTGAAGATGTACCATCATATTTATGTATCATATAATATATTCAGAATAAAGAAAATGCATTCTTAAGCATGCTCTATATTATATCTAATATAGTTGCAATATTAAATTACTAAATAAACTAAACGAGGATAGAGTCAACCAAAAACTGATCTTCTGATGTTAAAAAAACAGATGTGAATTTTCAAAATTTATTTTTCTCGTCAAATTTTAGAGTCATAATTATACTCAATTAGATGTCATTTTTACCAAGTTATTCTAAGAATGTAAGTGTTATGGCATCACTCGTTTTTCTTTTCCAAAAGAAAATGAAGTTATACATTTTTCCCCTACGAAGTTTCTAATTAAATCAAAGCAACAATTATTTCAGAATTATATAATGTCGTATACTATATTTTGACTTCATTCGTTCCAGTAGAAAAATTCTAAAGTTTCGTTTCATTCCAGGCTCCAGTCATGTTAACATGACTACAGCCTGGAATTTGGTATCAAAATGATGATTGTTGATGTACACATCTTTTGAGATTTTATTTTTTTTATTTTGAATCGAATATTGATCATTTGAGTGAGATTTTTTGAGTTCGATTTTGTGTACTACATCCAGAATTTTAATCATTGAATGGATGAATATGTACTTTTTCAGTTGGATTCATTTTGAACGCACAAAGTCATTTAAAATACGTTTGAGCATTTTCGTTAACTTTTTTACAATTAGGATGCAAAAGTTTGCTAGAAGTGCTATTTCAATAGCGTCTCCTTATCTCGTCGAAGAGTAAGAAGTTTCGAATTAGATGTACCCACTCTCACATGCAAAATTTTTTACCAGTTTTGCAAGAGTGGAAGGTCACAAAAATTACTCCTTTACATGTGATAATTGATCTTCAACGGCAGAATTTGATGATCATGATTACTAGAATGATGAGGAAACCTCTGAATGAATGTAAAATTATGAGCAAGTGACCCTACGCCTATCTGTGTCCAGCGGTGGTGTTTTAGTACCCAAAGTGTTTACTCACAAGATGTTTCGCAATTTCATGTAGTGACATGGTTGCACTTATGACACATCTGCAAGGCGTGTAAGTACAATGCAAGGACGAATCTGCAAGGAACGTACGGTGCCCACATTTATTGCTTGAAATTCATCTAAGGGGGACCTAACATGACAGAAAAGTATTGGGGAAGTCTTGTCCTGTAGTAAATCTGGAGTCAGAGAGACATAGACGTGCAAAGAATGAGATGGCTTGAAATCACGAAATTGGTTTGGAAACATGGGCCAAGTGGAAAGCAGAACAAAAGTTGGTTGTTGTGGAAGTCCCGTCATGCCAGGGTTTTGTCTATACGGAAAGCAGTCATAGATTATTGAAGCATTTTTTGTTTTTCGTTGTTGGTGAAGTCATGTTCGTTCTCCTCCATTTTACTTTGAGTTTGTGTGTTTTATTTAAAGTTCATGCACTTCATTTTTCTCCCACTGACATTTCCTTCTGTAAAGAAAGTCTAACAACCCGAAGAATGTGGACAAGTACTTTTACATATACATGAATCTTTGTTCAATTCCAGATAAGACCTACAGGTCCAGAAGGCGGTATAAAAAATTTAAAGTACCAGTTCTTATGTCCTTACACTCTTCTTTCAACTGATTGACATTTTGTTAGTTTCCCTTTTACCTTAGTAATCACTCTATTTGAAATAACAGTAGCCGAAATAATTCAAAGTAACCTAGACTTTTCACCACTAGTGTCGAACTAAGGTACACGATTCAGTGAATGTTTCCACCAGATGTAGTCATAACCCATATTGAATATTCCACATTATGTAATGAAACAAGACTGGTCTTCGTGTGACATAGAAGATTTTCACACGGATCAAAATCTAACATGAGGACCAACGAAAAAAAATGAAGTAATTTCTAACCAGAACACATATTCATTGCCAATTTACTTTGTGCACTGATTTTTACATTATGATTTTGTGAAACTCCTGATCAAAGTAAACTATCATAGGATTACTTTAATTGCTGTGACAGTCTAATGTTGGTTGTTTTCTCACTCCATATCATTTAAAGTTCAAGTGCAACAACTGAATATCTACTTTTCATTCCAATATCCTGCTACGTTTTTCCCAGTTTGTTCCAACTTTTCAGCCATGTACCATAACACTAGATCAGCTTAAGTTATTATCTTTGGGTTGAAAACCATGCTCCAAGCTTTTCACTCTTCCCAAACTCCATAGTAAGTCGATAAGATTTAGGTTGAGTTATAAAATCCAACTCTCAAGGAGAAGCATCTCCTATGAATTTTTATATTAGAGCCAGATCCTTCAAAATAAATCTCAATTAGCACTTCCACAACTTATGGTCAGTAGCCTTGAGACAAGGCCTCCTATGGTTCGACCATTATTTCAACATATTCTATTCTCATTCAACCGACTGCACTTTGTCTAAGTATTGACAGTAAGGTCGTACACTAGCGAGTCTTGAAGTCTTTATAAGTTTATGTGGTTCACTAGTATACATAAATCTGATTTCAGTTTTAGTAAAAAGCTACTTGTGTCAATTTGAGATGCACCAAAACACTTTTAAACAACGAAACAAAAAATGTTGCAAACATCAACTTCATGATAGAACAAAGGACTAGCTTGAGGGAAGACCTCAAAGGAATACCAAAATAAACCAGAAGTGAGTAGATTGTTCACACAAGACTGGAATAGCACTTGAAGTGAAAAAATTGGAAGTAGTGTTGAAAACTGAAAAAGTAAATACAACTAGTGTTGACGAGAGAGATAATATTGCTAGGACGCAATTAGGAACTTCGAACCTGATACTAATCCGCAACTTCACGGCTAACGTATTTCAAGTCCGTGTAAGGAGTGATTCATGCTTTGAAGATTTTCCAATCTCATAATTACAAGATGCATATAACTTTGCTAATCACATGTCAATGATATAATAAGAAAGTATAAATAAATTCATACAAGTTTAAAGATAGAAAAAAAGAAAATTTGTGATAAATATAATTTTCTATTTTTATCAATCGGAAAAATAAAGTAAGATATAAAAATCGACTACTTTCAACGTCTTTGAATTTGGAAATTTCTTTCATTCATGACTTCTGGAGATATATATTAGCCAATAAAGCGTCACACCTCAAATCTACGAAATATTTAAAAAGAAGAAAACTTAAATGGAAGTCTTACAAATATTTTGACAATCACTGGGCTGATGATTTCAAATTCGAGTCTCTCTGCTCCCTTAGCTTTGCTGGAATTCCTCGGAAGAATAATATTTTCATTCAGTCGGCACACAAAATATATCTACCATATTATTATTGTACTTTTTCTCTTACCTTAGGTGGCCTAAGCACATTCTAAAGGCAGTTTTCGTAGATTTAAGTCGTACAAGTGGACTATATCTGTGTATTATGTCCGCCCACAGGGACCTTCAGATGACATGATGAATGTCATACAGTAGAGTCTTTGACCAGGATCAAACTTTTGTGGTATTGATCCTGGTCAAAATCCATATGAGTTCAAATGATTTGTGACAAGTAAGTGTGACTTGCACAGATGCTCATTCATATATTTATATATATACACTTGAATTATCTAGTGTCAAGACCAGAAAAATTCATACATGCAAAAAGGTGCCAGAAAATACATTTAGCGAATGAAATATCATTGTAAATACCATAACCAGACTTCAGACGAAAGGTTGTTGGAGTTCACAATGATAATCCTTGGAACCTGAGCATGAGTGGATATCAGTGCCTCCAGCTATGAGCTATCTGGTGGTCCAGCGATCTTGTGGGCAGAACAATATGAGCGCTTCGCAGAGATCCTTCGCTTCCTTAAATCTCAATTTCTGGTAATATAAGAGTGGCCGAATCCATTGCTACAATCCTGGCATCTTGTCTCTGAAAGCCCTTTCTGGTTTACTTGAATTAGTCAAATCAATCACACAAATAGCGAAACTTTAGTCAGACATTTACCTGTGCTGCAAGTTAACATTTATTCTGGTCACCGATGAAACACATGTACCAACACCTGAGATGAAATCTCCAAAGGACCAGCTGAAATCGTGTGCCCTTCAGTCAGCAACGAAGCTAAGTCAGAAGCTTGAGAAAACAGCTTTTTCTTCCCTTTAGGTCTTTTGTGTCATGGCGTGCATGTTGAGACTAACCCCCTCAAAAGTACATAGACTGTGGAAAGACCTTAATAATACTCTAGGGGAGCACGGGTAGGAAAGTCATTGGTTTCAGCTGTGTAGTATCTCAAACTCGTTGTGGATACAGTAACAACTTCTCTCCACATCCACTCTGTCTAAATTGCTGCTGTACAGCTTCTAAGAACGAGCTTCCTTCGAGTACTTTGTTTCGATCACCGATCGCCCAAAATACCAATATGTAAATCTTGAAACTGATGTTGAAGACTGGATTGCCCTCTCCTTGCTTCAGTTGTAATATCTTTAGCTGAAAGTGGTAAAAAGAAGCAGATTTTGAAAGTAAAAACCAAATCAGGCAGAGTTCGGGGTTTATGAGATAAAGTGGTGATTCATTCCACCTCCTAAAAACGACTTCGAGAAATCCGAACTCATTCGCAGTTCTTATCATACATACATCACACAGCTCAAAAGAAGAGTGTATACTTTTGTATGTAACCTTGGAAGTGTTCTTTTGCAATTATTCTCGACGAGAGTCATATGCAGGTCAAATCGGTCCAGGCTCTTCCAACGGACATTTGCTTTTGTATCGAACTTTTATCTGAGGTTTGCAGATTTTGTTCAAGAGCCATGAATCTAGGCATGTGTAAACGCTCGTATAATACTGCCAACCGTGGAAACATGATAAAGGAAATTTTTAGCGGTTGTCAGATTCAGAGAAATCATCGTCTCATCAGATTTCTACTTTAGATACAGAAATGCATCTGGTCGTCGTTATAGGTATATTTTCTGATGTGTTTAGTGGACAATGGATGCAGCTGCTCCACCACACTCTTTTGCATGATTGAACTCATGATCATGGCAAGAACCTTGGGTGTGAGAACAGACCTTGTTAACTGATACACCAAAAGAGTCGAGCATGAGATCTTCTTGCCCGTAGAGCTGATCATCGAGAAATATATTAGCCTCAATCATTAGTCGTGGAATAAGGATGTCAGTTGGCCATCTCAACTTTTGTTAGCATGTCTCCTTTTTCCAGATCTAATTGAGAGAGTTTCACTACTCTCCCAAAAAAGTTTCCTGTCCATCCAACATGTATTCCTTCATCAGTGTTCCTAGCATAATTCTGCATCATAATTGCATCCGGGACCTTTTGTCCTGTTCTTATTTCGTGATACTACACCCTGTCATTGGATCCTCGGAGGACATGCCTTGAACCTTTCCTGGTTGCCTGTCCTGCTCGACGTAAACAGAACTCTTCATACAGCCCCAACTTAGAATCCAGCTAAATTTCATATACGTTTGTTCGTTCGACACTAATTCTTATTAAATGATCTTCAGGACACCAAACCAGAGGACTTGAAGATTGTTTTCTTCCTAAGGTGAAGCTACCGTGTTGCTTTTGCCTTTCACAAGAACAGGGAGTCCGTGTTCAGTCCTGCTCATCTCACGCAATTCACTCATCCGAAAGGATGCACAAACTCTCAACCGATGCCTGAAATTTTCCTCCCGGCCCTTCGACCTGTGAACTGAGACATGCTACTGGACAGATTTATATAGAAGGTACTCATATGCGATGAGCTTTCAAAGTAGTGTCTGGAAGCAAAAATATTTTCTGCTAGATTACGAGCATAGATAGCATTTGTGCTGCAGCTGCATTCTAGGCCCAAGCTCTTACTGCATCTTTTGACCACCGGTCTATTGCAGATTGGTGGCATGTGATCTTGATATATTACAGGGGGAGCATTCTTGGAATACACTGGACTCCTCTTCGACATGGATGAGGAGAAAGTCTGCTTTGCGATGATGGAGTTACGACAGTGTATTCGTGTCTTGTCTGAAGCACCTCGACCATAGCTATTACGCTCTTGGAACCGCTCTTCTGCTTCTTCACGACTGGAAGCATTTAAAGCACCTAAAGCTATTATCCGTAGCCATGTTCTAGATTTTAATTGAGGAAACTAAAGCTACAGAATTGACAACTTTTAGTGGTCGCCGCCAAAGGCACCATAGTGTTCTGATAGACGTCCGAGAACAGTGTCTGATCTCTTCCTAGCCGGATATGATAGCCAGAGAAGTACAGAAACCAACAGCAGATCCCACTAGACACGCATGGAGGGATATCCAGTCCTATATTTCTCCATGGCGATCCACCACAGCCAGGAGACGAAGCTCAAACACCTTCTCAAGGGTCCAAAGGCAACGCGCAAAGCCTAGAACTGTCCCAATCCTTGTCTGAAACTGAGGCGAATCTGGAATGGGTCCCGTCAGTTTTTGCAACTCTAGTTGATGTAGCTTCGAGCCATCAGGTCTTTCAGCTCCATCGGGATCTGACCGTCGAGCTTGTTATGCGACAGGTCAAAAGATTCCAGCACCTTGAGACCGGAAATGGTCGAGGTTATGGGACCATTGAGTGAGTTCCTGGCTAGCGTCAAGTAGAGCAACCTCTGCAGCTCTGCAGGAATGCTGCCGTCGACGGGATCCCGGAAACAACCAACGAATTCCGAATCGAGACCACGTACTGCAGGTACAGAGTCATGTCCTTTGCAAACATCTTGATCTCGTCGTGCAAGACCTCCAGATCCAAAAATACTCTCCGAAATACGGCTGAAGCCATGCACGCATGCTCGACAGATTGGCAGGTGTGGATGGATCCATGAAACTTGTTGTGCCATAGGTCCAGAACCTGGAGATACGAAAGGTGAGTGATCCAGGTTGGAAAATGGCCCACCAAGCAATTAGTCCCCACCATAAGAACTCGCACTGAGGCAGCGAGCTAGACTTCGTAAACTGGAAGGCAAGGTGTCGGTCAAGAGGTTGTTACTCAAATCGAGGACCACCATGTCTTCACAGTTGTCCTGTGAGGCAGAGATGTGATCGATGATCAGGTTCCTGGCGAAGGTGGGAGGTCGTAGGGTCGTCGGAGATGTGATCAGTGATCCCGTGAGGTTGTTTCCACCCATTTTCAATCGGGCGAGCGATGACATGTAGGAAAACCTTTCTGGAATTGGACCCTCCAGATTGCTCTAGGAAATATCCAGAACTGTCATTCAAGGATAATGAGAGGCCCAGCTCTTGGGACTCACACCAGAGAAATCATTCTTGTCCAGTAAGAGCTCTTGCAACTTCGGGAGCTTTGGAAATCGAGCCGGATCTACGGAATCTATTCCCGGACATGTACAGAGACTTGAGGGAGGAGACGTTCTGGAACATGTCTGGGATACTGCCTTCCAGATTGTTGTAACCTTGGAGACTTCTTGGAGCTTTGAAAAATTGTCCAAGGATTCTGGAGGGCTTCCGTTGAGTAGACTGCGCCAACGATACATAATCCTGATCCTTCTCAGATCACCAAGCGCTGAAAGTATGTGGCCCTTCAAGTCGTTCGTCCTCAGAGAAAGCTCCTCTAGAAATGAGCTTCTGCCCAACGAGGAGGGGCCAGTGAAGGTGTTGTCCTGTAGATACAATATCCTCGACCTACTCAGATCACCGAGCTCTGATGGTGTTTGTCCGGTCAATTGATTGCTGCTCAGCTGGTGGGTTTCCAACTGGGAGCAGTTGCCGATGAAGGCAGTAATCACTTCCTCGAGACAGTTCGAGCACATGGAAAGACAACCTATCTCCGCGGGTATCGGTCCTTCCAATTCGTTCAGGCACAAATCGAGTCGCTCCAAGCTGGTGCACTGGCCGAGAAACGTAGGGATGCCAGCTATCAAATTGTCAACGAAAAAAACAAAGTCCTCAGTCCCTTCTCCGCTGTTGCAGTTGCCTCGAAACACAGGAATGCTACTCGGCAGCTCGTTCTCGCGAACAAACAAAAGCTTCTGCCTTCTCAAAGCACCAAACTCTGCTGCTATCTGCCCACTCAACTTGTTCTGATGCCAATCTAGTTCTCGCAGATCACAGCACCCGCTTCAGTAAGATGCAAATGGGCAAGTTAATCCATTCCCGCCTAGCTCAACAAATTAAAACTTTTATGCGTCCGGACAACCGGTTGCTATGGGAGCAATTACACAAGGCAGCAGGAATCCGTCCAGTAAGATTGTTGTGGAACAGAGTAAGAATGTCCAGGTTCCCCAGACATCCTAGCGCCGCAGAAATTTGTTCCTTCAATCTGTTGTTTGACAGATCCAACATATCCAGGTCTGAGCAGGTACCTGCATAAGCCGGAATCCTGCGTTTGAGCTGGTTATCCCAAATCGTTACTGTCTTCATTTATATCCCTGAGAGCACGAAGCGGCCACTGAGTTCATGATTCCACACACTGACGATTTTCAATCTGGTCAGAGCAACTAGCTCTGCTGGAATTTGTCCCGAAAGCTGATTCATTTCCAGTTCGATTACTGCTGAGAAGTTGCAATTGCCGAATGAGGCAGGAATCCGCCCAGTGAGATCACAAGATTCTTCAGTCGTCCTAAATCCTCGGGTATCAACCCCGTCAATCTGATATCGGCCAGACCGAGGCTCTCGTAGCTCCGGGAGTAACCTTGCGGTCGAATAACTTTCGATCAAGGCAAGTTTACGATCCATCGCCTGCAGCTTTCAATCTAGGGGGCATTTTCCATCCCGTCAGTCCAATCTGGCACAAGGAAAAGGTTCCACAGCTGCTGCAGACGTCCTGTGTAATCTGGAGGTATGCTTCCAGTCAATTCGTTCTGGGACAAAAGTAGTACAGCAAATGTCATTTACGATCATGTAGGTGGACCTTATAATTGCATGTAATGTTGTCTACTCCGAGTATGAGCACACGTGAAAAAATCGAAGCAATTGCAAGCAAACAATTGCATCGTTTCCTTTTGTTCGTTCCTCTCTCCACGAGGGTGTTATTATTCTCTGTGTGTGATGTCAGTGGCCATTTCGTGCATGTCTTCTCAAAAAGTTGAGATCACTGGTTGTGACAGATTTGCCACTTTTCATTTGGAGCTCGCGAAATGTGCATAAAGTGTACACTGTGACAGATAATTTCTTCTCTTTCATAGTGCTTCAATCTATTTTCCCTGGTGAATATTACTACAATTACACACCTCTCAGCCGATTCGACAGTGGGCGACGAAATGGTCTGGAAAGAACTACTTATCGTCAATTAAATCCTCTCAAACGGAGAGAGTATTTACATAGAGGATCGGCCCTGGAACCAGGTAATATATTCGAAATAGTAAATACGTTTTGAAAAGGACAGGGAAGTTTTTGAAGTATCCATAATTAGTAAACTGGCAAATGTGAACGAGTAGGCTGCTTTCCTTTAAAACTACGTCGCAAAACTAAATAACCCCACCATATCATATATCTTCCGTCCGTGATATCTGCGATGCAATTTTTAAATTTTACAAAGTGTCTTGGTTTTTCCAAACCTGGATGGGAAGCATAAACATCATCAGAATGTTTCATATCCTTTGTGTACATATATATAAAAATATCACGGAACTTGGATTTGAATTGAAAGATAACATGATCGGTACTTTATTTGGTAATTGTTTTATCGTTGATGCACATGAATCCGGATTTTTTTCCTGAAGATTTTTCTTTCTCAAACTTTCTGAAAAGAAAATTAGAAAATTATATCCAACCAAAAAATGGAATTCAAATATGTAATATATCTCAATTTTTTTTTTAAAAATAGTGTTTACTATCTTAAATTAATCCATCAGATTGAAGATTTTGAAGTTTACATAATCGTAGAATTTGGAAAAAAAACACAAGTTGTAATTTTTTCTATAATTTTTCATTTTTAGGAGATAAATTCTACTAGACTTTCGACTTCTAAAAAATATATAAAATTCAACATGAAAATTAAAGAAAATATATTTTACAGTTCCATCTTTGAATTCCAGAAATTTAGTAAAAAAGAGGAAAAGTAATCTTGTGAATTCAAGATATTATAATATTTAAGATAGAAAACCTTATCAATATATAAATTTCTGATTTGCAAGACAAGTATTTTAAATATTTTATATGTTTTCTCTTGAAATTATAAAATGAAATATTTTCTAATACAAAATAAAATTTTTCACTTACATTTCAAAACCGTGTTTCATATTCAAATAATATATTTATGTGAAAATTTTATAATATTAGATTTTCTTGAGATAGTATTGAATAATGAGTGTTACGTGAAATGGAAACATTTAAATTCAATCATGTACAATGTGTGATTTAATCTCTCTCCTTGTTTTTTTAATTTAGGCGATTTGAAAAACAGTTAATTATGAACTAGTTTATATGGCAAGGGATTCTTAAAACATTACACAAGCCACATGCACCAAGTTAAGATGTTCACCCGTCTTATTTATACACTTTTGTTTTTCAAATTCATCTGTTGCATACATTTTATTGACAAGTTAGATACTATCATAGTATGAAAAGGGTATGTATGTAAACTTATCCATTACAAAGTGGAGATGTGTAAGTAACCTTTGAGTTCGATTAACTTACCAAATATGACTAGCATTGAAAGCCCGATAAGACTGCTGGTTAAGGTGGAACGGAACAAAGAAGCTAAGTGGGCTGACAAGGATTACTACAAAGGAGTACAGCTAATGCACATGTTCTGCTGGAGTAAAGTAAGTTCATAGTTGTACAATATTGTGCTTTGTCTTTGACGGATGCAAGTTTTGGGATGTAAAGATTCCTTGTAATCAACTATCACTTCTAAGTTGCAGTAGTAATCGAGAAACATCGTATATCAGACTAGAAGTTGGAAATGATCAAAAATGACAATATTAAATAATTTGGTTTTATTGAATTTATTGGTTTCATAATATGAAATTGGATAGTCAGGAAATTATTAATAAATCCATCATGTCACCCATGTGTTCTTGCTCTACAATAACAGGACAGGAGACATCTACTTTTAGCCGAACATCTTCTTTTAGACATCTACTTTTAAGCACCAAACAGAGTTATTCACATACAGAATAAGCTACATATATATTTATGTACTCACCGCATCAAAGACATTACGATCTTTTGAAGGCAAAGGTGGACTCTAGCCGATATTCACTACTCAAGGTCTATAACTTTTTATAGAAGAGAAATGTATATTTACATGCTCACCTCACTGCAGACAATGCAATTTATTTTAAGGAAGAGGTGGCCTCTCCCTGGTATCCTAAACTCAAGGTCCAAAAGGGTTGAAAATAGAGAGATATGTAATTAAATACTCACCGCACTCAAGGCATTGGCCACTTTACGGAATTCTCTGCTACAGGTCCATGACTGTTACAGGTGGACCCTCGTTCCGTAGCCAGCGCGATCAGCGCGATCTCAACTATAACACGTAACTCTGAGGAAACCAAGTGGTGTGAGATACTCGATCAATCACACTGAGCTTATTTCACGTCTGCTGTCCACGGGCATGCAATGAGGATCCGTTCGAGTGGTATACAACTTTGTGAGGAAGCTTGCAGCTGAATGACACATCTTAACGAGGGACGATATCATGGTGAGAATCAGACTGAGGAGTTACGGTGTCAGGTATGAGTTTATGGTATTGAGAATTTTTAGAACAGAGTGAGATAATGATGTGAATTCTGATGTTTCAGATAGTTTTTAGCTCCAATTGTTGCAAGCTAGTATCACATTTCTCAGTACTGTGTTTCTCGGAAGCATAAATCAGCTCTGTTTCCTTTTACTGTGAGCTTGCTCGAATGCTCGAATTAACGAAGCCAGGATCTATCTACCTGATCCAATTGGAGAAATTGTTGATGAAATTCTCAGTTCGACGGTCCAATTTACAATTTAGAGGTTTCGTCTGAAGAGGAACAGCTTCCTAGGCATCATACTGAATTGTACCTTTTCATTTGCATGAGAAATCTAGGCTGGATATATTGTGCGTTGTTGCATGTCTAAGTACTCTCCAAGCGATCTTTGTAAGCTCTCACAGGTGATCTTCTTTTATCCATCTCATACTTCATACTTTCAACTCTTGATATCACAGGGCCAATGTTCGTAATCTACTGGACTTTCTTCACTGTGTCATTGCTGCTACATGTTTGGCCACTGTGTACCTTGATGTCATTCTTAGTTTATCAGAAATTCTTGGCCCTATAACTTCACTGTCACTAACTATAGAATTATGATGCACATAAGCGATAGAGAAGTTTCAATAGAGCAATTTCTTTGTCTGGTTCAATTACAGGAATTATATCAATTTGAACTCTACGGTCAGGCCATTACTTCATGAACATTCCATTGAGGTTCTCAAGCAGAATGACTTCGGAGGGTACACCGTTCCTGCCCTCGGCCTTTATCCTTTCCAGGTACCTTGAAGTGCTTCGGCACATGTTCTCTGCTCAAAATTCATGCTGTGTTCATCATCGATGATCTATTTTGTGCCATTCTATTCAGAGAGTTTTAGAAATAGATTGAGAAAATAGGCCAAAGTCTATTGACATTCTGGTAAACATTTGTCTGTGTGCGGATGCTGTCCAGTGGAACTGGGATGCTGGGTTTATCGCAGCCGGCTGGGCTGCGTTTGATGTGGACAGAGCATGGGAAGAGATGGAAACACTGTTTAGTGGTCAATGGGCTGATGGAATGATTCCATCTATCCTCTTTTGGAAAGCATCAGATACATATTTTCCCGGTCCTGAGATATGGGGAACAAAAGAGAATCCAAGTAATAGTACAGGCATCACTCAGCCTCCCATAGCTGGAGTGATTGTTCGTTATTTATATGATTGTACTGCCCGTACCAACAGGCGATTAGCACAGCAAAAGGTTTCGAAGTTGTTTCCAAAAATTCTCGCATATCATCGTTGGTGGTACAAGGTAAGTTTGTATACCAGATTCACAATTTGATATGATGCATATCTACTGTTAAACAAAAACATATCTCTGAATTCGATCCGACGGCGAATTTATCACCGACATTGCATTTGAAGTGGAGCAGAGTTTCTGATTGTTTGATACACCCAAATCTTGGAAATAATTTCGCATTTTGAATCGTACGATGATCATATTTATATCCTTGAAATGTCAAGGCAAGAGATCCTCTCAATACAGGACTTGTTGCTATCATCCATCCTTGGGAATCCGGCATGGACAACAGTCCTGCATGGGATGAGGCCCTTCATGCATTTCCAGTTGACGACATTCCACCCTACGAGCGCGAAGACTTGAAACATGTCAATGCCTCCATGCGGCCATCGAAAGACACTTACGATCATTACCTCACTCTGTTATACAGGTAAATATACTTCGATGTATTTACTAGATCATGCTTTCTACTGAAAACCTCTGAACTTAGTCAAGTATGCACATCACTATGAACTTTCATTAGCTACTCAGATACTTGGTCTCTACATTGTCAACTTTCAAATCAAACGGAGTTGTCTTTTTTTCAGGTTCAAAGCTGCTAACTACGATCCAGAGAAGCTCTACTGGATGTCACCCTTTCGAATGACTGACCTTTGTACCAACAGCGTTTTGTTCCGAGCCAACCGTGATATGAGATTTTTGGCTCGGATGTTGGGGAAGAAGGAAGAGGTCAGAGAAATAAATACCTGGTTAAGGAAAGGTAAGGAGAGATTTCAGTGGTTATGGGACATGGACTCTGGACTTTTCAAGTGCGAAAATCAGCTCACCGGAAAGCTCTCCAGTGCACGAATATCTGGAGCTTTCCTCCCGCTTTTCGCAGGTAAGATATTTCTGGCGCACCCCAGAGCATCATCAGTTGAAGAAAAAAACCCCTAGTTAATCAAGAGTGCAGCAAGCATGTCTTACATTCATCAAAGCAAATGACTCACATGACTATTCTTTATCCTGGTGGGGCATTCGTTGCTCTGCCCCTTTCTACAGGAGTGGCTTCACAAGATCAGGCGGCCGCGCTAGCGTCAAATCTGAAACTTTGGATAGATGAAGTGAAGTTTGGTGTACCAAGCGCTGATCCTGCGGGTCCTGTGTTCGACCCTGTAAAATATTGGTCTGGTCCACTCTGGATCAACATCAACTGGATGATATCCTCGGGCCTCCGCCACTACGGGTACGTGTGTCCTAAGTTCCATTGAAAATCGCATACATAAACACTAGACTAGCATTATTCTGCTCACTCTGCGAAGTATTACAATGCATGTAGAATGAGCATATTCTCACTCTGCGAAGTATCGCTTGAATTAGGGGTGCATCTAAGAATGCTGTCACAATCTTGTGATTTCCTTAGGGTAGGTAGTACTTCATAGAATGGAAGGATTGAGGTATGAAAGCCGTGAATTCCATGTGTGCAGGTACAACGAGCTTGCAGAGAAGATTGAAATGGACTCTCTGACGGTCATATCAGAATCTGGTTTGAGAGAATACTTCAATCCTAGAACAGGTGAAGGAGCTGGTGGTGAGTCCTTCTCGTGGACCGCAGCTTTGTACCTCGCATGGCTCGACGGTGAAGTCCTCTAGAATTCGTTCTGAGTGCGTCATGGCCCGATGTATAGATCTAACTCTGAGCAATGGAAGATCACACGTTGAATAAGAGCAAGAAATCTGACGAATGCTTCATTTGCTTCCAAGAAATGGTGGACATATTTGATAAGTTGCCATTGTGACTTGCCACCAACCATGGCACCATATTGATGCATACGTTTGTTTTCTACTACTTCCAGCTTTGGTTCCCTCGTTCACTACCATTTATTTATAACCGTACTATCTAATCTGTATCCAACCTTCAGAGAAAGATACATCTTTATATAAGATCGATTGGAAGCCTAAACTGGTTGGAGCTCCCTGATCAGCCTCCTCATATGGCGATCGGAACCAGCTTTTCTGAATCCTGCCTACATAGTCCAATCTCAATAGTCTGATACAACAAGACTGACACTGCTGTTTGCTTTGTTCCTATCAACGGCCTCGTCTAAACAAAACATATCATGGCGACGATTTGTTTGGAGAAATTGTCAGAGGAATATAAGAGCCAGAGAGAATTCACATTCCAGACCGATCGCTGCAAACCCGACGCAACAGAGGGATCTAAGATAATGTGCTCACCTTAGTGGGAGGAAACAAGTGGCAACATTTGGTTTAGGCCTGGTTGTGAAAACGACACAGGGGAGGGCATCGCAGAAACCATCTCTGCAAGTGCAGACTCTTTTCTCAATGTGATGACAGAACAGCGTCACCAACATGTCCCGAACCTCGGGAGCTAAAAAGTGAGCTCATTCATGAACTCAAGGCACCCATTCCACTCAGCTGCTGCTACTCCTCCTCTAATCCATTCACCAACAACATTGGAATTCACCCTAGCTACCCTTCTGAACAGGGAATTTCAGGACAGGACACTCTTACCAGCCCTGAGGAGCCTCTTGCTGTTCACAGCTGTAACAAATACAGGGCTGGGTATCCATGAGGTCGAATTCGTTCAACATAGAGATCTAAATCCCCTTCCAAAAATCCGAAAAGTGTTTAGAGAGGTTATCGAAAATCGACTGCACGAAACATTCGAGTGGATGATGGAGCGTGGACTTTCATGGAGCAGGGCGAGTAAGCCGTCCTTCGCCGTTGGGCTCAAAACTACTTTGCGGCCTGTCCGTGTATGCGTCCGTGTCCCGTTCCGTTTGCGTTTACCTCTGGCTTTCCTCCTTTGGCACAACTTACGTGGTTACTAAGGTTAAAGCATGATTTCCGGTGTGCCCCAACTTTACCATAAACCTTACACAGTACTGATATGTACTGGGTAAGGCGCTGAGCTAACCACGTTGAGTTTCTGCGGTTGGTCTCCTTCTCCGTCTTTCTTTCATGTTTCCTGTTTCCGGCGGGGGAGAAACTTCGAGACGGGAGACGGTCGAGAGATGCGATCGGTGTCGAAGGGAGCCATGGATCCGAAGGAGCAGAAGCCGATGAGCGACAGAGTGTGCAGGCGCTGCAAGATCACGTATCAGTCGAGCGTTAATGAATCCACCTCTTGCCGATTTCACCCTTCTATCTTCGTTTGCCGTCGTCATGATGATCAGAAGAGGTTAGCTCGCTGATCCGTCACTTCTCAACCTGTGCTTCAATCATTCGTTTGCACTTTGTTCCCCTCCCAAAGCGAGTACTGATCGCCACTAATTGAATGATGATGTTGTCTAATTTCGACCCAGATGCAATTAGAAGCACGGTCGTGATGGTCATTGGGTCGCGGCTTATGTCGATTGTGTGATTCCAAGTGTTTATAGAATTATTTTCTGCATACATCTGCAATCAAGAGATGGAATACTCAACTCTTGATTTGGGGCCTACATTATTAGGGATTCACATTCTTGGCGAACCAGGGAAAAGTTGTCGGTTATATGAACAGATCGGCGGGGATCAAAATTGATTTTACGTTACATATATTTGATCCAACCACCTCAATTTAATGAATTTAGCGGTGTGGATAGTCCCTTTCCCTCGTTGCTCGGTTTGTGATCCTGAAGCTCCAGAGCAGCATACATGACACTGATATGAAACCACCATGAATCCATGTTTTAAGAAAGGGTTTGGGTTTAGGGTCAGTCATCCTTGTTCTGAAAGTGGGTTTCGAACCTTCTCAAAGCCTGAGTTGTGGTTGTTACCAGGTACTACCAGCTAGGTCCAAACGATCCACCCTATGCTGCCAAGTTTTATGATTGTTGCGGAGCAGAAGATCCAGATGCTGCAGGATGTACGACCTCTTTCCACGTTTCGTATGACGACGAGACCTAGAGTTGTATATATTCCAACTAAGACAGTACCTACATAGTGAACAAGGATGACTTGAGTTGTATACGTACAGGTACAAATTCTCCTTCTAGAGGATTGTTACTGCATCGTATGTATACTCTTCATAAAGTCTCCACTCACAAGTCGAGAATTAGCTGCCAGTATTCTCCCATGTATGCGCTCTGTACAATTGAGAATTTTAACCTTGTTGATGAGGTGAAATCGGGAGCTTCTGTCGTTGTGATTGTCTCTTATGCATTACAAGGTAGGAACATGGAGTCACTCTCTATCCTACCTCTGAATTGTAACCCAGTGGCTTTGTCTTGGTGTGTATAAGTATATAAGTAGGGTTTTACATATATGCGTGGAACATGTTTTCCTTGCTTGTTTGACCCACGTATTGCTTCACCAAGAGCAACATATTAATCTACAATTTCCTCAGGTTTGATTATCTCATTATTCTAACTAAAATAGGTTTTTATATATTTTATGCGAGAGTGATGAGTGAATCGAGAAGACAGTTTTTCTTGTAAATTAGTGTTCAAAGGTTTCTGTCATATTTTTTAAATAATGTAATTATTTATAAAAATCTATGATGAAAATTTCAAATTTTGTTCTAAAAAGGAATTTTTTAGAATTCTCTTGATAAATATGTATTTTTTAAAAGAATCAATATATATATATTCAATTTTTTTACATAAACTTAACACTAAGATTATCTATAATAAATTTAATTTCATACTTTATAAAATAATATAATCCATACATACCTTAAGATGTTCTCTATATATGAATTAATCTTAAAAAAAATAATACATGCATTCCATACGTATCTTTAACTTGTAACACACGTTGATTGTTCAACTCTAAACTCTTGTATCCTATATGTATATATACAAACTATGTAGATCAGATAGTCAGATTCGGTACCTAGATGTACAGCACAAAATAATCACCTTACAATATATGGGTTATACCGATGTTGAGCACCTTCGGAGCTCCCATGTTAACTGAGGAAATGATCCTCTTTCTCGAGCATTTATGCTACATTTGTTTCATTTCGTATGCAGACAAACACACTACAGGATTAAAACTTCTCACCTTGGCTCTAGTCCAGCTTGTCGGAAGATCTAGATTCTGAGATCTACACATGATACAGACATAAGCTTGCCCAAATTCATTGCTAATCGTGATGCGAGGATGTAGCCCACGACTTCATGGTTATTGCGATCTACTATTCTCTGGAAAAATCATGAGCTCTCGGGATAGAATGCCTTTAATGATGCATGCAGATACTGTGGTTCCTGTTGGAGATCTATCCAAAATTGCACCAGTAGAGCATCGAAAAGCCTTTACACCACAAGGTCTAAACTATTGACAAAGAGGGGTGAAATCATATAGAATCGAAACCTGAGAGCGCAGCCGCGATGGATCATCTGTAACCGAATACATTTAAACTTAATCGTGGATCATTGATACGGTCTAGTATGCAGTGAAATCAAAGATAAGAATGAATTGCTTTATTTCATGACTTCCCGGGACATCTCAAACCGATTCTAAACTTTTTGAAACCTTCATCTCACTAGGTTTGAGGAATTGTGCTAGGATCACGTTTAGGAATCATAATCATCAAATCAGAATTCCGTTCGCTTAGAAGATCTTGGTTTGTAGAAATGCAAGAAAAACTTTACTGCAGATGATAGTTTTATATTTTTTGCAAATGTCGAGAGGACTGGCATGGAACTGGCTTTGAAAAGAATCACATTTCTGAACTGAATCGTCCGAATGGCACTTACGTGCCATAAATGAGCTCCTGAATACGGTCGAATTAGTTGCGCTCTCAAGGGGCTTCGGCTCCCGAGCCCTTCAGTCTCTTGAATTAGAAGGTGCAAATGTTGATTTCTCTTCAAAATTAAAAAGTCTGGATGCAAATACTAGCCTTAAGCAGGAGCTACACTTTGATTTTTTTGGCTAGAACTGGGCATTCTGCTTAAAGTAATCAACTTCCCTTAAATTTTTGCAAGATGTAGACGTGGTGGTACAGCGTTGGATGAGCTCAGTATCGGACTTGGATTAACTACTCGAATATGATCCTGGAATGGAGACTGTTGAAAGATTACAAGGATTATCCATCGTCAAGCCTTTTAAGTTTATTTAATAGGTAAAATCAGCTCCGTGGAACTTCTCATGCACCTGCCTTAGATTCCTTCGTGTCCGAAGGGGTATAAGTATCGCTCAAAGTGAGCATTTGATTCAAACAAGCCAGTTCAATCCTTGATCATTGGCAAGCTCGGCAGCCTCTGGTGAGGACCACAAGCTCTGTCACTCCTTCTTAACTTAGAATGTAGAGCGAGAACAAGAGTCGAGACTGCCAGAACTGATCATAGAGTGTGGATTCTAGACAATGTAGCTGCGGTGTGATTGAATTTATTTACCCAAATGTTGCTGGTCAATTTCATGACAAAGCTCAGTTCTTTTGCTTGATCTCATAATTTCGAACACGGCTGTTGCATCATTGTCACATTTTCGTTCTTCGTCGATCTTTTCTTGCAGGTACATACCTGAAGATGGCGCCCTCTAGCAAGGTGGTGTTCATGTTGCTCCTCATGACCTTGGTATTCAGCCATGGTCAGGCTTCAGCCAACGGAGAGACCATCACGGAGAAGATACAGCATGGGTTCACGGAGGTCACAACTACTGCTGAGAAACTCAAAGTTGCAGCGGAGAAGATCGACATCGACAATGCTCCCCAACAGGGAATCACTATCGCTCAGGGACTGACAGCCATCACTGCCAAGCTTGCTCATGTTATCGAAAACGTGAATAATGAGACATTACCTGCACTTGCAGATGCGGATGCAAAGCTCATTGTGAAGGCCCTCGAGAATTTTGTGAAAATTCACCAGGCAATGCTGACAGTTGTCATGGAGAAGAATGAGCTCCCGACTATGATTGCCTGCTCCTTCCCTATCAGGATGACACTTGTAAGCATGGACTTCGCGCTCGAAGTCTTTGCCTCTGATCTGATAGCGCTCATTCCAACCCAAAAGCGATATGCAGAGAAGCAATTTTCTAGCCTCCATGAGTTGCTGAAAGACACCTTGAACAGGTACAGCGTCTCCTTCGGATCAGCTGAATCAGACGCTGCGCTCACCGCTACTACAGAGAAGATCGTCGAGGGACTGAAGACTGTCACGGATATGTCCGATCAGCTCAGAGTTGCGACCCAGAAGATCAACATCTTCAACGCTCCTCAGCAGGGAGCAGTGATCGCCAGCGGATTTGCAACCATCATTCAGAAGGTTTCTGAGGGAATCGTCAGGGTGGACCGAGTCACTTCAGGTCCGCTTCCCGATGCTGATGCCCAGCTCGTAGTGGACGCCCTCACCACATTCGTGCAGGTCCACCAGGCCTTGCTGAATGTGGTGATTGGCAAGCACGGCATCCTTACGATGATTCCGTTCTTCGAGCCCATCAGAATGGCACTTGTGGGTCTGGAAGCTGTCATCGACAGGTTGGCGTTCGACTTGATTGCTCTAATTCCTACTCAGAAATCCTCCGCAACCATTCAGTTCCAGAAGCTGGACGTCACGTTGAAAGACGCCGAGGACACCTACAGCTTCCCGCTGGCATCCGCGGAATCTGATGCTGCTCTCACTGCCACCACAGAGAAGATCGTCGAGGGACTGAAGACTGTCACAGATATGTCCGCTCAGCTGCGAGTTGCGACCCAGAAGATCAACATTTTCAACGCTCCTCAGCAGGGAGCGGTCATCGCCAGCGGATTTGCAGTCATCATTCAGAAGGTGTCTGAGGGAATCGTGAGGGTGGACCGAGTCACTTCAGGACCCCTTCCGGACGCTGATGCCCAGATCGTAGTGGACGCCCTCACCACATTCGTGCAGGTCCACCAGGCCTTGCTGAATGTGGTGATTGGCAAGCACGGTATTCTTACGATGATTCCGTTCTTCGAGCCCATCAGAAGGGCACTTGTGAGTCTGGAAGCTGTCATCGATAGGTTGGCGTTCGACCTGATTGCTCTTATTCCTACTCAGAAATCCTCCGCAACCATTCAGTTCCAGAAGCTGGACGTCACGTTGAAAGACGCCGAGGACACCTACAGCTTCCCGCTGGCATCCGCTGAATCTGATGCTGCTCTCACTGCCACCACAGAGAAGATCGTCGAGGGACTGAAGACTGTCACAGATATGTCCGCTCAGCTGCGAGTTGCGACCCAGAAGATCAACATTTTCAACGCTCCTCAGCAGGGAGCGGTCATCGCCAGCGGATTTGCAGTCATCATTCAGAAGGTGTCTGAGGGAATCGTGAGGGTGGACCGAGTCACTTCAGGACCCCTTCCGGACGCTGATGCCCAGATCGTAGTGGACGCCCTCACCACATTCGTGCAGGTCCACCAGGCCTTGCTGAATGTGGTGATTGGCAAGCACGGTATTCTTACGATGATTCCGTTCTTCGAGCCCATCAGAAGGGCACTTGTGAGTCTGGAAGCTGTCATCGATAGGTTGGCGTTCGACCTGATTGCTCTTATTCCTACTCAGAAATCCTCCGCAACCATTCAGTTCCAGAAGCTGGACGTCACGTTGAAAGACGCCGAGGACACCTACAGCTTCCCGCTGGCATCCGCTGAATCTGATGCTGCTCTCACTGCCACCACAGAGAAGATCGTCGAGGGACTGAAGACTGTCACAGATATGTCCGCTCAGCTGCGAGTTGCGACCCAGAAGATCAACATTTTCAACGCTCCTCAGCAGGGAGCGGTCATCGCCAGCGGATTTGCAGTCATCATTCAGAAGGTGTCTGAGGGAATCGTGAGGGTGGACCGAGTCACTTCAGGACCCCTTCCGGACGCTGATGCCCAGATCGTAGTGGACGCCCTCACCACATTCGTGCAGGTCCACCAGGCCTTGCTGAATGTGGTGATTGGCAAGCACGGCATTCTTACGATGATTCCGTTCTTCGAGCCCATCAGAATGGCACTTGTGAGTCTGGAAGCCGTCATCGATAGGTTGGCGTTCGACCTGATTGCTCTAATTCCTACTCAGAAATCCTCCGCAACCATTCAGTTCCAGAAGCTGGACGTCACGTTGAAAGACGCCGAGGACACGTACAGCTTCCCTCTTGCATCAAAAACTGATGCTCAGACAGAGATTCTGAGAAAGGAAGTGATTAAAAACGGAATGAAATCATATCTGGCAATATAGAGAGGAGACTTGCCATGTAGGAATTGACGATCTGAATACCCTCTTTACGCAGAACTGCGCTTTCTGCGTTCTATTATGACTGCTCTGCAGTTTAGTGAGAGATCTATGAGTTAGAGCGAGGACTGGGATTTTGTAATTCAGTTCGCTGATGTTCGTTTCTGCAAAGGCTTATATACAATGACGTGAACCGCAGAATTGGTTGCTTTAACGCCTAGCCTGATGATTGTACTTATGGTGTTAAGCTTTCAAATTAACAGACATGAATGAATCTCCAGGACTGCTTCCTTGATCGTGGCTCTTTGAATACTCCATTGATTTGGACGACCATCTGCAAAACCTGCCACCTGTGACTACCTCTGAAGTTCCTTCAGACATTCCATAACCTTCAACGGGATCGACCCCCAATCAAACATTAATGTATCTGCAAGGTTAGACATTCAGAATATTTCTCCTCCTCAGAAGAGTAAACTGTGTGAGGATTGCAGTGAGAGTGAAGAAGACTTGATAATGTGTTATTGTTATGGGCTTCTTTATCGGTCTAGGACTAAGACAAATGTGTGATTTCCATTGAGATAATTAGCTGTGAGGACTACGATTTTGTCTTTAACTGATGTCAAAGAGATGAAGAGATTTGACAACGAATTTCTGACAAGATTCTCTATGTTGTGAATGAGTATGCCTACCCCGGGACGTTGGTCAATGCAGTACCACTTTTAGTTAGAAATGCGTGGATCTCTCTCCCTCCCTCCCCGTCTTATATCGAGACTTACCTTCGATCAGTTGAATCGAATGGATGCTAATCGGATCGGAACCTTAATGACATGTGATTTCCATTGAGGACATTTCCATACTCCATAGACAGTCCGCGACGTCTACCGCCATCAATTTGCGCATGTGATCGCTGATTTCCTTAACTTGATAGTCCATGTTATTTAGACCAGACGATATAAGTTTGCAACTAAAATTTTTCATTCACAAGAGATATTCGTACAAGCGAGTTTATTGAAACTTGGAGTAAATTTATTCATGTATTACATAATGGTGAATGTTTTTTTCCTGATCATGAAATTCAACTATCCAATAATATAATTTGATAGGCCTAAATAATATAAATGTAATATTAATGATTCATATCTGATGTAAAGATATTGTACATATCATGATCTTTAGTAAGGTTTTTAACCAATTTCACTCAGGTAATGTTTACATTGAATGGAAATTTTTAGAAAGTGTTGTTTATAAAAACGGAATTAAAAAGTTTCAACACCATAAAATTTGGGAAAATTGATTACTCTATACATAATTGTCTTTTTTTGGTATATTTGAATTCTAAATGATAGAATAAGTAGATTTTGCAACACAAAGTTCAATCTGCCAAGAGTGTCACTATGAGTGACATCACTACAAAGTATCATTTTTTGTAATTTGTAAATTTGCCCAATAATGACATTACGACACTATTGGCAATAGTGATAGTGTGTAACTACAAGTTCTATCAAATGTAGGGTTCACAGCATGCAGATTAAGAATAAAGTGGGAGTTGATCTAGAAGAATCCATGCATATAATTAGACTACCATTTGGAAGTCTATGTCTTCCGTACTTCTCATAGATATCTGTACAAGATACATCATAGAAGTCAAAACAAAATCAGAGTTGCCTTTGAATCATGATGATAGTTTGTCATTCTGCCAGAAGAATTTATAAACTTTGTGACGTAAATCTTTCATACACAAAACCAATCGAAGAATGTGGCGTGACAACGATGAAGCACTTCTAATGCAATAGAAGAATTCAACGAATAGATCTTTTCTTGACATTGAAGATTGTGAAACAGATCTAACGCAATAGATTCAGGTGTCAATTACGAGGCTAGATCAGAACTTGATGCTATCAAGCGTTGGCAAAGTAAAATCACAGTAAGATTTAAGTTTCTTATCATCAATTCTCCAAAGTGTTACATGTTTGAACATTCGGCTGCTTTGTGAAAAGACGAACACGAGGTATGGAGATTGTAACAATAAGATAGTTGCGCAGATAACTCAATTTTGTATTCCTTGGATTCTCATAGCTCATTTGGTTGATGATATCTATAACAACATGTAAGTCTATACATAAAACACAACAGTTTACAATCTCTACAAATGAGATGAGATGAATGGTTTCTTATCTTACATATAGACTTACCTGCTGTTACAGATATCACCAGCGAAGTGAACTAGAGAAGAAGAGAAAGAATTCAAGGAAAAGCTTACAGTCATGATGGCATGTATAAATAGAGACTCGAGATGGCTAGTTGAAACAAAAGGAAGTGATCTGAACAATCTAGAGTCAAAATGACTTGAAAAAAACCACAAACTAAGAAGTCAAACACTTTATATATTCAAAATCTAATATACGTCAAACAACTAATGAGGAGTGCTTGCCGCCTTGAAGATTTGACAAAGAACAAACTACACATGACATTCATGTCGAAGGATAGGTCAAAAAACTACCATATTGTTCCTAGAAAACAACAAGTGCCATGTAAGATCCTACTCTTTTGTCTTCAACACTAACATCTTTCACGTTAAATCTTACTTGTTTGTTCTCAACATAATCTAAGTTGCCTATCTCAAAAGTTCAAAAAGTTTTGTAACGTATCAGATCAAAAGTTTGCAGTCATATTCAAAGATGCACTCACAACAAATCTACAATGACAACATTGATATGCTACGTGAAAGTTGCAAATTAAAACCAACTATATTGATCCAAATCTTAACAGTGAAAAGAACCAATTATCAAATCTTACGAAAACACTCTACAACTTGTCAAAATCTCCATCTTTGAATAATTCCTCATACACAAACATTTATAAGTGATTATTACAACTGGGATCAAGATGAGTACAAATTTATTAAAACAGAGTGACCAAAACTTCATTCAACAAATCGATCCTTTAGCTTTTTGTACTCTGCACCAATGGCCAAAAGCTATGAATCTGGAGAGTAAACAACGCAATTGACATCATACTAATGATCATTTTGCTTCAAAATGTAGGTTTTTGATTGTCATTCACATACTAGCAGCTGATACAATTTTACACATACAAATGCTAGTCAGTTTTCTATTTCGTTGAATGCTGATGAAATGATCTTATACCTCGAATTGATTGCAGATAAAAACATGTGAATTTTAGGAGTTGATAAAGCCCAAAACTGCTTGTTGCAAATCTAACTACTAATAGATTAAGGCGTGGATGATAATTGCAAGAAATCACACCACAGTGAAATCGTCGTTTGCGTCATCCTTGCTAAAGATTGTTCCATTAGTCTTGCTACATGTGATTTTGACCTTGTTGACAACATATTCATGCTTTTTAGAAGCTATTGCAGCTAAGCTCTTTCAGGAGATGTTTGTTGGAACTGCCAATAAAAAAACGTATCATCTTGTGAGACCGAGTAGGTTTAAATGACAAATTTGTCAGAGGAGTTGTATTTTATGAAATAAATCTTCACAATATGATCACAACGAACTGAAAGAATCACTAGATGATATGCATTCAATTTGTGCACAGAGAACAATTTGCACACATAATCTGTATTTAGTGTTATGATCCAATCATTGAGATATCTTCTGATTCATTAAGCAAGAATTCAATTTGCAACTTCGTCGACTTGTTTACACTTATTGCATCTTCAATACTTGAAGAGTCATTACTGCTCATAGATAGTTGAGTTTCAACTTGTGCTCCTACTTGTCCATTTTGCCTTAAGCAAAAATCCTAAAATCGTTAGATTTTTAGAATTTATTTGGACTACAATGCTACAGATTGTATTGTTAATTGTTTCAACAAATCTAACTTTATCAAATTTTTGCCAATGAATCAATGAACAATGATGAGCTCATGGAAAGTTGAAAATTTTCAAAGAGCAAAAAAATTTCAATAAATTGAATTTCTATTGATAAAAATGACTCAAGTGAAAAATAGTTGATCTACTCAATGGTTGTCCGATTTGTTTGCTCAACAATCACCAAAGGTGGTATCCTGACCACATCATTGTCATTTGAATTGATGGCAGTTTGAAGTAGGTTGTGTTGATCTAATAGTGACTTGACAATGCTAACATCATCAACATGGTTGACATAAGTAACATCAAAACCAAAATTCAATCAAATTTTTGATAATTTATTCAATATTTGTGTCATCAACATCATGAAACATTTACAATAAATCATCAAGTCAAATTTCTTCCAAATTTTTTACAAAATCATCCACTACTTGAATTGAACTATGAGCAGATCAATAGTTATCATGGTTAGAAATCATGTTTGAAACAACAGAACAAACAATTGGTTTTGATCAAACAATATCAAATAGTAATCTTGATTTCATTTGATGCTTACTTCACCTAGACAAGTGCGTTGCACATAGATGTGTATGATCATTGATTAAGAACAAAGAATGAGATGCACATTCACTTGTTTGTCAAATTTCATATTTAGACATTACATGATTTAGTCAACCATGACAAAACTGCGCTTTGGAATATTGAATGATTTTTTGATCAAGAGTTTGACATTCAATGATAACATTCAATGGAAAAAAAATGAAACACAAATTTTGATATCTAAAAATATTATTTTTTATTTATCTTGATGAATCCAAAATTTTGGACGGACAAACATGAAATGAACAAATGTCTTGAAATAAATAGATATGAAGTTACAATTTTTGGCAATTCTATTGTAATTGTGCGACAGATGCATACAAGACAATGTATCTTGCCAACTTTAACTGATCTATGAATTTATGTAAACTTTATCAATCATCATAGATAAAGTTAAAGATGATCATAGATAATTTTGAAAGTCTCATTGACATTCATAATATTTTTCAAAACACTCTTTGTGATAAACTGTATGATAAAACTGTCACATGAAATTTCAACTCCAAAGGTTAGTGTGAACACTTTTATATTTTATTTGATTTCACGACCATTCAAATTGTTTGTAGAGTAGGATCTTGATGATGTTATACGATGCTATAAAACCAACTTATCAATATTGATAATACATTTGAGTGATACATCCATAAGCATTTGGCAAATTTGATGTAACGTTTTTACACTTGCATTATGATAGGACTTGTATGTTCTTCGCACCTCTTCTTATTATATATTGAAACACATTTTAGATATTCATCTATACTATATATGTACAAATAGAAACTGTATCTCATAATGTAAAACATCTTTCAAGTTCAATCAAATTTTTTTTTAAAAAAACAAGACATATTTCTTGAACATTTCGCCGGTCACATTCAGCTTGACGCATTGATCTCAACGTAAATGTTCCATTAATGCACCATATTTGAAAAAACTTTCTTGAGTTGATATAAAAATACATTTAAAATCATCTTCATTTGATTCCAATGCCATTTCTTGAAAACTTGTATCTAATCTAAATCTTTGAAACATCTAGACCTGAAACCAAAAATGCTAACTCTATTTGCTCTTGGAAGGGTTTATGTTGATTGAAAAAATTGAAAACCTTCAACTTTATCTTCATATATATAATAACAGTCACAACGTTGAAAGTGCCAAGCAAAGTCAAAGAACTAATATTCGAGACTGGTGTAACTTTCAGAACTTCGGATTTCAATCTCCAACCAGTGACGTGAAAATTTAACATCAATGTGTTTCAATGTTAGAAGGTTTAACTCTGTTATTATAAAGAATACTTTAGAATTTATTCTAATAAATTTCATAAAATAAATTAAATTTTATTATTAAAGATAGTTTATTCGTGAAATTCAAACATCATTCTCACACAAGTTTAACGCAATCTAAGAACTGATTACTCAAATTAACAAAATCAATCCTAAGGTGTTCCGAGAACTATTGGTAAAGCAGTGATTATATTCGTAGTTCAAAAACAATACAGAATTCGATGTCCATGCAAACTAAGGTTCAAAGGTCACCAGATGGCAATCTTCTCCAGTTCGATACGAGGGTGCAAACAAAACTGGAAGCGATGGCACAAGAGCGTCCACTTTTCCTTCATCATGTCATGTTCTCGTGAAATGCTCTCGTGATAGTACTCAGTAACTCAGGTCGTTGATCCTCTCGAGTGATTGGGAAAGGAAACGTGAGAATGGTCCATAGACTCAACTCTCATGTCGTCCATTACAGCAGGGTCCGTCTTCTCCATATGATATACTTTCTTGACAGTATAGATGCTTCGTCCTTCGAAAAGCAGGGCTTCGTTCAAGGTGTTTATGATTTGGGCCATATCCGGCCTCTCACCACCACTGGGATTCACGGCTGCCAGGGCACAGACAATTACCTTCTCCATTCCTTCAGGACTGTATCCGCCCTTCAATCTCCGATCGACCACACTGTCGATCACTCCCATGTCCACCGCATTTTTTACCTGCACATGTTTCCAAGTCGTTCGAGGTAAGGCATGATTATGAATTGAGTCCTCCATGGGCAGAATCTAAACTTAATTCTCAAAGAGCAATTCATTGCGGATGCAGGATCATAAGATTGTTTTCGTATGTTGCTGCAGATGCTAGTGACTCAATTGCAGACATCGTAACAATGCGGGGATAGAGCTGTTCAGCATGAGTCTGATTCGGACTGTTTGAAGGTGGGATTCGGTGGTTACCCAATCGATCAAGTTCGTATCCTCGCTACCCGGGAAGTCAAGAGTGAAAGGCCGCTTGCCAGTTACGATTTCGAGAAGCACAACTCCGAAGCTGTAAACATCGCTCTTCGTTGTGAGCTTACGTCTGGCAAAGTACCTGAATTGATCATCATGGTAGATGAGTCCAAGGATCAACGTAATGATCGTGGTATCAAATTGCAGAAGCTTCGCAGGGAGAGTAACTCAAAGGGCTGGGGAAAATCTTGCAATAATTAGAACATCAGGTTACAAATTCCATGGTGAGATCTATCCTTACTCTGGATCCAGATAGCCGAAGGTGCCCTTGATTGCAGTGGAGACTCCGTTCATGGTCGACCCCACTTGATCGGGATCGTACGAATCGGGCACTTGTTTCGAAATGCCCAGGTCTGCAATCTTTGCTTGTAGTTTATCGCCGAGCAGAATGTTGCTGGATTTCATGTCACGATGGATTATGGGCGGGTCGCAGTCCTTGTGCAAGTACTCGATACCTGCGAGGTCGTTTTGAAGGAATGTTCAGAATGTAATCGAGGAACAGTAATCAACTAGACCTCTCCAGTGTTAACACTCTGAAGTTTATCTTAAAAAAAGCGACTCGAGGTATCTTCTTATCAACTGGCTACCCAGTTCACCAGTGAATGTTCTAGACTTGTCACCTCGTGCAGCATCGACAGCAATCTCAAGTCGCGTCCTCCAGTCGAGGTCCTGCGTTTTACGTGGCACAGTAGTAGACGCATCTGTTGTAGCTTCCGAAGAATCTGAAGACTCAACAAGCGTTCTTCAGTAATTTCTTCATCCATGACATGAAGAAATGCAAATCATCTAGGATGGTAAATTTCTAGAAGAAAAAAGTGGGGACTTCGAACTGAGATCTGTCTGGGTGGAAATGTGGCCACGAGTATAACCTGAGGGATAAAGATGATTCGCCAGCGAGCCTTGCGACATATAATCGTAGACGAGGACTTGCTCGCGTCCTTCCAAACAGTAACCAATCAGACGAACAAGGTTGCGGTGATGCAGCTTACACAGAAGGCGCACCTGGATCAATGAAGAAATGAGTAAGCATTGCTCTAATGAGCAATGAGCAATTGCTCTTTGCATCACAGGGTTTACAAACTGAAACTCTCGAAGAACGTCGTGAGTCTTGTGATCTCCTATAGAGTTGATATGGAGTCTTCGTGTAGAAAGCTCAAGCACCATACCATCCTCATGGATAATATTGAGATAGCGTACCTCATTCAGAAACTCTGCTGATCCTTGTTTCGAATCAGCTGATCTGATTTTGACAGCAACCTCTTCACCATCCATTAATTTGCCGTAGTAGACTGCTCCGAACCCTCCCTTACCAATCAAGGTTTTATTATCTGAAGTCATGGATTTTATTTCCTTCCACGTAAAACCAGTAGCTGTTTTGGGTATCTGATCTGGATTCCAGAAGATAGCGTTTAGCGACTCAATCAATCAATTCTGATACGAAGGCAGGCAAGCTAGCATGTCGGCCAATAGTAATAGCACCGAACCGATAAACGAATTCTGCCCGTCGTACCTGTTGCGAAGGAGTTTCCATTCTTCTTTCTTCTGTACAAGCACAGCAAGAGGAGTGTAACTGCCAAGACTGCACATACACCGGCTACGATTCCCACGATCGCTCCAGGAGGGACACCTTTCTTGTCTTCTTCAGGGATCAAAATCAGATTGGGATTGTTCGAATACCTGCCAGAAATCAAATGAGTAACTGTCATATTCTTGCAATCGAACGAAATGTAGCGTTTACACAGAAAACATTTTCATCGACAGATGAAGTGTTCAACCCGGCTTACGTAATGTTCAATCCGAATCTTGTTATGAGTGATTTTGGTAGTGTTTTAAAGTTGTTGTTGTCCAGCAGCCTGCAAAGAATTACTCAGTTTTGTCAGTTGATCCCCGAAGTTGGAAACAATAGATGTTCATTTAGATATATGCTGAAACATAAGAGTCTCCAACAATACAAAACGATTTTATTGCCAAAAATTTTTAGCAAAAATGAACCCTTTTTTTACGTGGTGACCAGATTGATGCAAGTCGTATAAATACTTAACAATGAGCAATGAGTCAAGAAGAGTTTGTGCATACACACTGCAGAAAACTTTTTAGTTCTGATACCATGACTCACACTTGTGTCAAATTCGGAAGGAAAAGGAGCGACTCAGGTACATCGCCAGTGAAGCCATTATTCCTAAGGTCCCTGTTGCGCATCACACATAACCAGGTTCAGTAACCAACATCTAAACTCAATTCGAAGGTAGAAACTGCTAGAACAAGTTGTCACCTGAATATCAGAGAATTATAGGTGTATCATAAAGTATTTTATTGAAGTATCATAAAAAAATCATACTTACAAAAAGTATAGATCATTAAGATCTCCAATCTCCTTTGGAATAGTTCCTGAAAAATTATTACTTCGGACATCTCTGGAGCCCAAGCGAATCATCCATCATGTAAAGAGAAGTTAGCTGAAGATGTAGATCGATATCAGACCGCAGGAATATGATAGACTCAGTGAGCAAATTTCATACGTCCTACGTAGTTGAAGTGAAGTACACAACAGTCGGGATGACGAGGGGCTTCTTGACAGAACGAAGTATACAGGAGGATGCAAAATCAAGGCTTATAAATCTCTGAACCAGATCTTCTACTGGGAAATATGGGAAATATTTCATATCGGTTGGTATGAAATATCATACCAACGGATCTAGGCTTCCGAATAAGCAGGTGCAAGTTTCATCATCTCCTGGCCCTTCGCCGGGAGAAAACTTGCCCAAGACAGGCTACCACAAGTATATAATATCTTGACTTACAGGATTCTCAAATTCCTCATGTTTCCGATCATTTCACCTCTTAGCTCTCCACTCAGATTGTTGGTATTCACCGTTCTGATTGGACAAAACAAAAATTCAGAATTAATCGAGGGCAGCTGTAGGCAATAGGAGTTTCTTGGAGTCATCGGCTTCGTAATGTGGAAAATAATTTATTTTCAGTGAGGTATATGGAGACAATTGAAAAGGTCTTCTGAGAAGAGGCCTCTTTTGAATACTTACATCTCTTCTAGCCACGTAAGATTATTCCAAGATAAAGGAATTTCTCCAGAGAAACTGTTGTTGCTAAACTTCCTGTTGACGAATGAGGACAAGTGAAGTAATTAGTAGTTTCAGGGAAGCCAAATTATTTCAAAACGATGATCGTCAACTTCATATTGAGGATATAGATGAATTTTGTTTCCAAAGATTTTCAAGTAGCATGTAGGAAGAACCGTCTGAGCTGAGAGATACAAGTTCAAGTTGGAAAACTTACAGTTTCTGAACAAAGTGATCTGGCGTTTTTTCTTGAATAGAGCTGGGAGGAAGATCTGGTAAAGTGCCCTTGATACTATTGTTGCGAACATCCCTGTTATAAAAGTAGGTCTTAGCTTACAATTTTCCATGCATCTAGTTCAGTAAAAAATCTAGATGCAGCAGAAATGACAATCAAAACTGCAATGACAAATCTGCATAATAATTGATGGTTGATCGTTACCGTCGTCAGACAATCAAAATATATAGTTACTTTGCCAGGCTGACCACTAAAGGACAGAGGACATGTACTTACACAATACATAAAGTGCTCAAATTTCTCAAGTCAGAAGCGAATTCCGTCAAGCGGTTGTTCCATAAATTTCTGGTCAAACGACATTGTATTAAGAAAGAGCAATTAATTCAGAAGAAAGCTTATTCGACAAAGTTATGTCAGTATAAGCTGAAGGTCATTTTGTTTTAATCAACAGATTCAAATGTCAAATTTAGAATTTCTTAAGCGAATGTCGTGAAAAACATGAGTATTGACTATTCTCTGTCACCTTATGCCGAGACTGTACATAAGGTTGGATCTAGAGCGAAAAGTTTCACCGAAAAGGTAGTCGGAGGAATCGAAGGCAGATAACTCACAAAAATCTGAGTTTGGTCGTGTTTTGGAATGAAGGTAGGGGTCCTGTCAGATCGCAGTCGTACGCGCTGCTGCAAGATTTCAGATGATGTTCTAAGTATAAGAAACTTTCGCCTATATATTCTAAAAGGGACTTGGAATATAGCTTATGGAAATTTTGTCGGTATTTTGAGTGCAGAGAATACTTACAAAACCTCAACACTTTCAAGACCACTCACGTCCGGAATCTCTCCTGTTAGTAGAGGATTTCCATACAAATTCCTGCAAGATTCCGATAAGCAAGTGCATCGAAGGATGAGTATCTGTCAAGGAAGCAATAAGTAGCATGTAGTCGAGTCCTAGTAAAATTCCGTTCCATTAACAAGAGTCCTGTAAAATCCTAGCTTTTCCTAGCTTTATCGCAGTCAATAGAAATATTCAATCGCAATATCAACTTACAGCCACTGGAGGTCGACATGCTTGAAAAGTAGAGGAGGTATTGATCCACTGAAGTTGTTATTCCATAGTTGCCTGATATGGAGAAGTATTAGGCTGAGGACCAATTTCCAAAAATCATGCAATATTTTTGTTTGTATACTTAGAGATCATCTCTTGGTAATATATCTCGTGAGCTGCTGTATGAGAACGAATTTCATCCAGCAGCTTGAAGTAAGAAAAGATTGATGCAAATTGATATTGTATATTTTGAGTCCTTAAAACTTACAGGCCCTTTAAACTCAGAGCGTTTTTTAGTTCTGGAAGACGGCCGCTTAGTCCACATTGGCTGGAATCCCTGCATATATCACAGAATTCGCTTGTAAATCACAAACCCTGCACAGAGAATTACCGAACTTGCTTATCGATACAGGAACCTAATAAGAGAACTAAAATCTGGAGATTTTTCGGCTTGAAGTTCTTACCAGTATTGAACGCTTGGCATCTTATTAAGATCAGGAAGAGGTCCCGTTATTCCAGGATTGGTCTTGATTTCACTGTCAAGTTACCAAATTATTCATATTATAACCAATGTCGAGAATAAATACTTAGTCTTGAATAAACGAATCACCAATTCTGTGCAGAATCAGCTTCATTGTTAAATGGAAGAAATTCATAAGCAAAGTCTGCTTGAGCATATTGTTCTCAGAATATCAAAAAAATTCATCGACTTCAAAACAAGCAGATTTTCTTAGCGCTGTTGACACGAAAGTCAAAAGTGGATGTTTAGAGACATACAAATGTGTAGCTCTAGTCAAATTCTCGAGCGAGCGAGGAATGCGTCCAACTAATTGAGTTTGCCCTAAATATCTGAAAAAAAAATTCCGTGTAAGGAAAACATACAAACTATACAGAACCTGGTGTGATAATGGTCGCATACGCCTGTCCATCTAATTTTGTTTTTGTTAACCATTCAAACCAGAGCATAAACATCTACGGTTTTATCGGCGAAAACATACAAGCTTTCTGGTTCGTGACAGAATCTATTATCCGACAGTATGGCCATTGCAAGAATTATACAAAATCAACTAATGTGAGTTGCTTTGCATTATGAACGAGATTCAATAACGGTTTGATCTCCACTTCAGCACTTCCTTCAAAACCCAGGGCATTTACCATTTAAAAAATATGTCTGACATAACGATGTACTTAGTACTGCAAAGCTTGAGAGTCAACTTACAATTCTTTGATATTGGAAATTCCATTGAGGTTAGGAACAGGGCCTCGTAGAGGACTGTTGTCCAATCTCCTGAAAACAAGAGATGGATAACAGGATGGTGAGTTACCAGGTAAGTTCTAGACAATTGGATCCAGTTTTCTACAATCATTAAAACTAGATGTGTTCTTCGCTACCATTTTATAACTGAGCATCTAAAAAATGGCAAACTCTCTTTACAGAATATCCAAGAAACTGATAACAACTTAAACTTGCAACTCCAGCTCAAAGAGCATATCTTCGCTATAATTGAGACACTCACAGCTTTTGCAGATTTTTGTTCTTGAATAAAGATGGAGGTATGCCTCCAGTAAAATTGCACCCGCTCAGAATTCTGCTCAGTCAACAGTAGAACTTACTTACTCAGTTTAATCTGAACAGAAACTTTACATACATTATAAAAACTTACATATGAATATTCTTAGCACAAAGCCTAGTAATCCAAATCCAGATTACTTACAGTTGAGTGATGTTCGGAAAAAAGGTTGTGTTTGGAATCGGTCCGGTGAAATTATTCTCACTCAGGTCTCTGTCCAATGAGTTCAGACTTGAGTAAGCGTAACAACCATGATCTAGTTCAGGCATTCGAGTCGTTTGTTGTGTAAATAATTAAGTAAAAAATATACAATAAATGAAATAGAAAAAAAAAATTAAAAAAATTGGCACATTTTGTTTCTTGGGTCAGAAGTATCTTCTGCGAAATTCTAACAGTGATAGGCAAAATAGAAGAAGCTTGATGAAAATTCGTACAATATTTCGAGGTGTGTCAAGTTTCTAAGATCTGGTACAACCCCACGAAATTTGTTGTATCCTAGATTCCTGGAGAAAGAAAGGAAAACGAACATGAGTATAGAAACCATTTAACTTGAGGATTTCAGTGACATCTTCGGCTTGCTTGAGAATTCGGTGAGGAATTGGAGGCTAAGATAGAGCTAAGCATTGAATGCAATCCACTAGTCTTCGACTGAAAGCTTTAGATGCAATGCAGACCATTAATTTAAGGAGAGACTTACACTTCACGGAGAAACCTCAGCCTCGTTAGCGCTTGAGGTAATGTTCCTGTCAGATTCAAATTCTTCAAACCACTGCCACAAACAAAGAGCTTAATCCGTCACAGACAGTGCAGGTGGGCTGAAAATCAAGAGTTGCTAGAAGCGTCTGGATTGAATTCAGAATACTTTAACTGTGACAACGTACGCACATCGTCAAAACGCGTGCGGATTTGGTTGAGTTGGAGCAAGTTATCCAGTTGTCGGTGTTGTTCGAGCAAGGATCACCATTTGCAAATTCAGTCAAATTAAAGGCGACCCGCAATTCTTCGATGGCATTTCCTAAAAGCCATGGTACCATATTAGAAGGCTGCATATGAATTCAGTTTCATACATTCCACATGGAAGCTCTAACTTCTCTGCAGAGATAACCATGATCTTGCAGTTATGGGCCAAATTTAACACACAGTCAAATTTTGTTTCTACGCTCAATTTCTATGGTGTAGAAGCACGAAGGATCAATAGCTACGCATTTACCATCTTCTGGAGCTAACAAAGCCTCTCCATTCCATGTCTCCGTCAGCTGCAAGGACAAGAACAAAAAGATGGACGCCACAAGGCGTGGCGATCCCCATCTCATTTCTGATCGCTTTGTGCTAGAATTCGCAGTGGACATTGGATCCTATGGAGGATTTTCTTCAGAAGGCCTTTCTGAACATGACGCTGAATTCAGTGGCTGTGCTTGAGGTGAACCAGGAAGGACCTCACCTCTAAGCTAGAAATCCATCAGCTTAATACTTCTTGCGGCATTGGGTGAGATGTTGTCAGTACAACTTTGTATCTACTTGCAATGGTGCAGTGACTCCTGCAGCTCCCTTTTTGTGTACAGATATCTACGTCGAATAGAAAGCAGCCCTCGAGTCTTAACGCTCAGTGGGGGAAACGGAATCTATCATCAAGTGGGCCTATTTGAAACATCGAATAACTCGTCAACTCGAATGCGTACAAAACTGATGGATTTCGCTGCCGAGTTTACAGGAGCTCAGAACGTGCGTAGGAATTTTATCTCATAACCTCACGAGATGAGTCTGATGCCCTTCCTGGGATACACGTAAGTGTACATGATCAGCAATACTTAGCTTAAAAAATTATAAGATTCCATCCTGTGTCTTGACATGCATACGCATACCAGAGACGCCACCAAACCACAGCTTCTCTCCTCATGAAAGAATGAGAGGATGGGAGCTGAACTGTACACCTTCTGTTGAGCACATCAATAGTCTTACCTTTCCGAGTTCTGCTAACAGAATTTTACTATTGTCCAAAGGCCTCCAGTTTGTCAGCCCTGCTTGATGTGCGTCTAGGAACAAGCCCGTGATGTGAAAACCACAAGTACAGAGCATAAAATGTTGGCCATTTGATCAGATTATGGTGCTCGTCTAACTGTAGTTCCTGGGTATGAGCAGGGTACAAGTCAACTTGGCACCCAGAAGACTAAAGACTTTTTCGCCCCCAACCTGTCAATGATATGGATTTTGCTACAGTACATTCGGATACATTCCACGTGGTCAGCACGCCAACCACGACGACATGCTGTTCCTATATTTCCTACCTCCAGTTATATCAATCGCCTCTCTATCGTTCAGATCATCATGGTGGAGAGGAGATTGAGAGTCCAAATGACTTTGAAAACCATTTCATGTTCAGCATTTTTCGAAGTGGGCAAACTTTTCCTTCCGGGGCCCTCGTGACGCTTTTGTTATTTTGCCTCGCTCAGCGAATGACTCTTTTTGTTAAGCTGTCTTTAGATCTGCTTTGCTGGTCCTTCACTTTACACTTTCTGCGGAGTAGTGAAGAACATTTCTGATCGATTTTCCGACCAAATTTTTGTACAAGCTGTGGAATTCATTAACCTTTTTCAACTGTAGACATTACAAGAGTGATCCGGGATGTGATGTGGGTTAGTATGGAAACACATGTTTATATACATATATATATATATATATATATATATTATTTTTTTTGATAATATTGGGATCTCATAAACATTTCGTTCATGTTACAGTTGTAGCATTGACATTTTTTCATCACTTTTGTTAGATATGGAAAGTTTAGTCAATAATACATCTATCGTTGTTATACTGTTGAAATCTAACCATTCATCGATCATGTACCTTGTCCAAGGTGTTTCTCACATCATCAGCTTTGTTGCATGTTTCTGGCAGGTATGGACTTTGGTCAAATTGAGATAGAGAGAAGTGTTGATGGGAAAATTATTCAATACAACTCACTCCTGGATCAAAGCTAAACCCAGTACCCGAGTACAAAAGGATGGAAAGTACGAAGAGGTAGTACAGAAGGGACGAAAGTCAATGAGCGGTTTCGTTATTGGAATCCCACGCCTTTTGGAACGAGTGGGGACCAAGAAGGCCCACTGGCACTGCAGACGATCCTCTCCTCTCCTCTGCGTGCTTGCGCTTGGCACGGGTCCTCGCCTTTCCAGGATCCGCAGATCGGCGGGACCTGGTCCCCCGACATCAATTGTCAGCTCGCCTCTTGACCTCTTAAACAACGCGGCGAAATGGAAAGACTTTCGTGCCAAGGAGAGTCGAAACCACGACGACATGCCATCAATTCTTCTTCAATGCTGACGAGACTGAGTCAGCACTTTTTCCCAAGCATTGTTCTTTATGAAGCACCAGCATGATGCACTCTCTACTATCTCTCATGGTAGAATAGTAACACTCTATCTGCGACTTCCCGCTGTCTCCATGGATGTAAAACGATGCAAGTAGTGTATATATATATATATATATATATATGATATTAAAAAATCTGATTAAGTGAATTCTAGTTGGATCTTTCAATTAGTTTCATTTAAAAATAATCATATTTTATAAGTTGGAAATTTTATTTTTCTTAATAATATTACTCAAATCTAATAAAATCTCCTCGTGCTCTTCCCTTTTTTAACAATTATTATTTTCATGAAATCCAGCCTAAAACATGATGCCAAATGCAGCCGCTATTAATATTTTGACCATTATATTTTCAAAATTTCACTCCATAAGTCTTTACAATCAGAAGAAGATCATTATCATCTATAATTACTCTCATGAAACTTTATTGTTTAAAATCCGAAATATCAAAAACTATGATCATAACATATTTATATATCAAGCTTTCCTCGACCTCATGTTTTTCTTCCATCATTCACCTAAGACTAGCTATGATTCTCTAACCCTCGACTTCCATTTTGTACTACTTTCTAAATAGTGACAATTCTGCCAGGTAACAAAGCCCAGATGACAAGAACCTTGATTGATCCATCAACTTGCGGATTACTATCTTACGCATGTTCACAAAAATTGTGTGTAGAGGTGATTATCATAGGTTCTTTTTGTAGACAGTTTTACTCTTGGAATCAATTTTTATTATATGAAGTTTACAGCTAGGTGTTCACATCACTCACACTCCTGAGGATCAAATCGAATGTGCTTGTGATTTCTGAAGTGTAGAGCTTATTCTTGTTCTTGAAATTTCTCCTTATGAAATTTGCAATCTTTTCCAACCAGCTTTGTTCATATCTATCCAATAAATCTGCCTGTTACTCTTGCTTTCCTTGTAGTAAAGTTCTCCAATTCCTCACTTGCACACATAATTATGAAGCTTGTAGCCTCATCATCACATCAAGAAATCTCCTTGCACGTTCTTCGGTATAAAATTAAGTATTTATTTGAAAATCCACTTTGAAAGTAATACTAATCGCCAAAACATATTCAAGTGAATTTCTTGGCAACGTGGATTGCCAGATTGCCAGTTCGCCAAGAGATTCACGTGAAACCGAAGTTACTACCAAATAGCAAAGGATATATTTCGTATGATAAGTTCATCCTATAATCTATATGTTTGCTCCATTTACTTTCAACATCTTCAGTTTATACTCTGTAATGATTAATGCAACTTCGTAACCAGTTCGTTAGATGCATGCATGTATGAATGATGAAATATTTGAGTTATCAATGATAGTAAAATAAGAATAATATGCACGGGTTCTCTTTAGGTGATGTTGGTTGAACCTTAAACTCAAGTCGAACTCGCCATTAGTAGACCTATACAGAACATCAAATATTAGATTTAATTTAGACTATTTAGATTACGTAAAGCAGTCGATACTCTTAAATTCTCATGCTACTTGGATAGTAGAGAGTGTATACATCTAGTTTTCAGAACATAAAAGCGGACTTTCCTTGAGAGAAGTTTTATGTTAAGTTTCAAGTAAAGTATTCTATGATTAATTACGGTAGACTTCTGATATAAGTTGATCTATCTATCTATGTTAAGAAAATTTGAAAAAAAATTATTCCTGCAAAATTATATAGTACGTGCACTCTTATTCATTTTGAAGTATTTCTCATATTTTTGATTGTTTACACTATTATCGATGTTTCCAGCCAGAAATAATTGATCTTCTATTCATCTTTGATTCCTAACGCCTATTCCATCTCTGAATTCATCCCCATACTGCCGTTTCTCTTCTTTTTTTTGGTCTTTAGAACTCATCTTTGGCCCTTCTCATTTAATATGTGAAGAAAGAACTAAAATAAGACATGTAGTTTAGATTAAAATAATGACCATTGATTAAGTTTCTGGAAAATATTGTAAATTAATCCTAGGCAAATTTAACTAAACACAAATAAATTATAAAATCATCTAATATGTTTTTTACTTTTTTTTATAATAACATTCTATAAATGGTAGTTACGATTCATATTTTTCCAATTGTTCATGTTGTGCTTGACTAATTTGAGTACTTAAAATTTAAATCGGGTGAGTTGATGGGTTTACTCATTTCTAGAGTTAAGAGTGTACTAGTAGATACAATATCATTTAAAGTATAACTCAGATTCTAAATGTTTGAATCCCATATAGAGGTATGATCTACTTCTTATATCAACTAAACTTGATACAAGAAGATACTTGGTTTTAATAACAAAAGTAGATTTCAATCAGAGTAAGTAAAGATGTTATAGATAATCTTTCAAGTCTTGTTTTAAAAAATAACTCAAGATTAATGGAATACCTTGAAATTTGAATTGAATCTCAATCTGTGTGAGATGTATTAAGTAGTAGGACGGAGCAAGGTTTTGATCACTGGGATTAAATAAAGATAAATATTACTACCTTGAAGAGAAATACGAACTTCAATATCTAAGATGTAATACCATATTACTCAGCCAGCCGATTACACCATTATCAGGTGAAGGCAGATAAAAATGTGATAATTTCATCAGGGACACACGTCCTTGCCTCATGCAAGTCTTTAGAAAACGATTTGGAATTCAATGACTAGTGCAGAAAGTTAGTATTGAATATGAAATGGTTCAAGGGGCTCACAGGCAACATTTTCTGGGATACTCCTTGGACTGCAACGAACTCAATGAACACACGAAGAGAGGAGCCATGACCATCACATTACACAGTGATGGATGGATGGATGGATGACTTCTGCCAAGGGCAAGACAAAAACAAAGTCAACCATGGAACCTATAGGATAGGTTCCATGGTTCAGAAGAAACTACAGGAATTTACATGACGTGATAACCTCATGCGCCGCCCTGTTCATGGTCGAGAGCCTTTGCTCGCTGCCAGAAGAAGTTTTTGTATATTCTCTTTATTATCTTTACTACTACTTTAATCTGCTCACCTGTAAGGAGACTAATGCACACTCTAAGACTGGATATGGATGGCTCCTGAACTTTTCCAGCTGGGGTGGCTTTCCACCAGAAGATAAACTGAAGGCATTAATCGGAAGGATGCCATGCCTTCTGAAACAGCGCAGCTCATGGAAA